CCGAGGATCTCAGCCCTATGACATGTCCAGGCTGGGCATGCAGGCGTGTTCCCTCATAGGCTCCTAGGTTCAGCGAGAGGGGTTGGCCGCCGAAGAGGACCTTGGCTAAACCTATCTTTATGTCGTTCGATAATTGCCGCAGTCCAGGCCTCAGCATGATCAGAGGTGATTGGAAGTGACCGTATAGGGCCCATTATCCGTGTGGATACATAAACGATCGGTAAGACTCAGAAACAGGGTCACTGCTTTTCTTCTCGAGCCAAAATCCACACTCCCACGCTTTCAGATGACACATTTTTGCACATTTCATTCGGTTTGCCGGCAAAGCTGATGTTTGTCATACCTCGTGGAGGATGTTCGAGAACGTATCAGGTTCTCTATACCAAGAAGGTCTTGACACCTAAGAGCTGACCATATTGTTCGAATATTCCACTTGGTGACTCGGTTGTCCATCTCCCGATTCAGACAGTAGGCTGACCTTTGTTCCAGCATGATAGCACATCTTTATCACTCTCGGTGCGCTCTTTTCCCAGTGCTCACGCACAATCGCGATTTCTGCCGTATCAGGCGGTCGTAACGGATTCACAATGCTTGCCTAGAGAATGTCAATCAGTGCTTGCACAACGCAAGTGAGATGACGCCTTCAAAACACTTGAAACAGAATTGCTCTGCCTTGTCGGTGCCCCGATGTGTCGAGCATAGATGCCGTCAACTGGCAACAATGGAAACAAGAGCGACATAAAATCATCGGTCCAGTGCCGTTCACTAAGGTACTCGGCTGTGTAGAGCGAACGCTGTCACATCCCGGGCCAACGATTTTCGAGGACCGTCTGCTCCTACGTCCAAATGTGCTTGAGATTCCTCAACAGACCACGGGTCTGTCTACCGCTGGAGATCCCGCACAACTCCTACTCGATGGTGAGGCATCCGTTGTGACTGTTTGGAACCTTGGGAAAACAGAATATCAGAATGCGCTGAAGTATGACTGAAGCCATCTGTCGAACTACGCTATGTTGTCAGCGAGGTTTCAGGCCGGTCATCTCTCGTTGGACGGGCATAATATGCTTGAATCGGGAATAGCAACATCCACAGTCGAGTGACGAAAAGCTTGCTTCTTTCTGTAGCATACATGATACTGGTGCCGGCTCCGCGGCTATCAGTTTCATCGTTGACGCGCCTCGTGGCGCTTCAACTTACCGCCACCAAGTATGTCTGGCTCCTCGGCGGCAAAAACGCAATGACACGCGAGACCCTCCAAGTCCTGTACTTTGCGCGCTTGTTGGAACAAAGATCTTTGATCGCCTCAACTTAAGATACCGTAGAGGCGCCATCTTGCCCAATCAGAAATCTCTCGTCCGGATAGTAGAGTCTTGGCCATGAACAAAGGGGTAACTGTAGGGCGTCATGAACCACGACAGCGGGGTACGGAAACGCCATGCAGAGAAAGCCGCTACATATAGGGTTTACATGCTGTCGTCGACTTGCTCAGCACCAATCACAATATTATAGTTGCGGTCACCTCCAGCGGTTACGGGCCCAAGCAGTTGGGCCAACGATCGATGGGTGGAAAGGTGGAGGGCTGGCAATCGACTGACTGGAGCCACGTTGACGATCTCCAGGCGTGCAGATCCGTTCTTGACGAGGTGTTACTGTGTTCTAAGCGCTCGCCGAGAAAGGACTTGCAGAATGCATCATGCAGGCGGCCGACTGCGGGCAAACCATTGCAATGAGCCATAGGTCCGGATCCCATCTTGTCTCCCGGAATTCTTCCCCGCAGAGGTCGGCCGGCGTGAACCCCTCGCAAAGTTCATTTCGCGAGGGATTTCCCTGCTACCTCGAGGTCGATGGACACGATGTCCAACAGTGCCACACATCGACATCATGTAACTCAGACCTTGCGATGTGATCAAGCGTGGCCAAACCCGAACTTCAATGTATTCATTCGCACTTATAAGGAAATGATCAAAGGGCGCCTGATAGGTAGTGGTGACAGCAATCGTCGGGCTTAATACTCCGGCGGATCGCGGCGGCAGGTTCAAGGGCCCATCCCTTGAGAGCCGGCCTGCATGATGGGACGAACGGTGGAACGAGGCAAGGGTCGGTTTCCATTGCTCACGACAAAAGCCTTGGACAACCAAGTGGGCGGCGGGTAACTTCCAAAGCCATGCCATGCCATTTCTATGATTTTCCGTTCCTGCCAAAATCCCTCTATTCCCGCGAAGCCGGGAACGCCATATTCGCAGCGCGGGGTTCGGCTCCTGTCAGCAACGTGGGAAAGGATTGTGAATGAAATGAGGGTTTGGGATTGAATGGCTGGTGTGGCTTTGCGACTCGTGCAGGAAGAGCCACACATTCTTCCATCGCGTAATTTGCATCAGGGCAGACGCGTCTGCGGCGTCGCGGGGCCCGTATTTCTACAAAGCAATTTAACTCAAGGAGCGCCGGGAGGGGCTATAGCCGCGAACGCTAAGTTGGCACGTTAGCCACAGTCCGTCGTGTCTCGTTCAGCGCGGGCTGAACGGCATTCTCCTAAAGGCCTATGGAGTTGGGCCCTTTAGGACCCAAGTTATCGCCACCAAGAACCTGCCACGACTCCTTGGATATGACTCTGGAAGAAGGCCACCTTTCAGTATCGGAATGTGATGCGATGGCAGTTGGGCGCAACAATAGGCGGATGAGTTCAAAGTGTCTGAAGTTTGACACTGGGCAATTGAGACGAAAATGCTCTCGCGACAGGCTTGCCCTCGGGACCTTCCTTGCTGACAGTCACAGCCCGGAAGTGGGCCTATCCCGTTGAGATCCGTCAAGAATGTCACCTTGTGGTACTTTTCAGGAGGTTTGATGCCCACATCCTAGCGGGCGCACAGAACCGACAACGCCGTTGAGACTTGAAGTGTTCTTCTGCGGGTGTTGTCTCAGGTTCCTTGCCCCTTGCGGGAAACCTTGTAAGGTGTGGCCTCCCCTGGCATACATGGCCGAAAACAGAAGGGGATCAAGAGGCAGTGCGAGGGGAAAGTCTCCGTAAGAACCTGGGGTGGCCGGACGCTGTGGCAGACAGGTTCGTATCCATCAAGTTCGTGGGTCCATCTCATATAGGCCCCATCGTTGGCATCGTAGCCACTGTCCGCCTCCTTGTCCATTATTGTAGCTTGGTCCGGGCGGGCGACGGAGAATGAGGGCTCAACACGGCTTTTCAAGGTCTAGTTGGCTACGCCAGCGTGTTCCGCCTTGAGTGATTGACGAGAAAGCACGCTTGTCATCCCAGCTTCAGGACACCAGCTGGCACCGTGGAGTTGTAAAGGAACATATCGACTTTCCAGACATTTTCATGTTGATTGGGAACATTACTGCGAAGCTTCCCACCATGTTTGGGCTAACGGAAAAGTCATGGTGCAGAATGACGAGTCCAGCAGGTGGGAAGTGGGAGACACACTTGTGTCACCAGGCTGCCCGGTGGCGAGGAGCTATTCTGAGCGACGACTCGTTGCGTGATGGCGGGGTACCTCGGCATGTGGAGGTGTGTAGCGAAAGAAAGGCGGACAGGTGCCACGACGCCATGTACCGTGTTATCGAAGGAGGTGAAACAGGCTTCCCTAAGCTTTCTGATGGGAAACAGGGCCAACAGACAATGAGTTAGGGAGATGCTGGAAGCGAGACACGGAAACAGCTGATGTCGCTTGCCCCGATTGTCGTGCTTCTCAGAGAAACCAAGAGCGGACTACATCAGACCTTATGCCCCCTTGTTTGAGGGGAAAGAGCGGGAGGACCGGAGAGCCACAGGAGCGAGGAGAGACGCGCAATAGTAACGGGGCTATTCAGCCTCAGGCGAACAGATTACGGCGTATAGGATTGACCTCTTCTTTTTGCGTTTGCGAAGAAATGATGAACTACCGTTGAGTCGCTGATAATTAAGTTGGGAAGCCTTGGCGGGAGATGCGGCATCAGTGGAAAGTATCGTGTGGTGTACGGGGGAACCCCCTGGAGGAGGTCCAAGCAGTCAAAGCTTGCCATGGGGATGGAGGTGCCGCCGCCGTGTTGTCGGTGCCAATCTGCTTTCGTCCAGTGTGCGGCGAAGCGTTTTTTGTGCCGATGTCAATCATTCTCGAGCACGATCGTCTGTAGTAGCCACACGGCCTGATGAATGTGGTCGAAGTCATGGTCCCAATAGAGACAGAACCCAGGCATTCAACCCGCGGTCGGGATATCAATGGCCATCGAATCATCTCTAGATGGCAAAAGTGTTATTGTGTTTCCGAGGACGCCGAGACCAGGCCACCCAAATTGAAGGGTGGGGAGCTTGCCAGGGCCCGATCGGGTGCTGCTGCCGTTATGGCTGAAGGTGGTGAAGGATCGATCACCAGAGTCTTGTTCTAGTGTTGCAGCAAAAAAAGGCCACCTTGGCAATGTTTGAACGGCTGTCGATATCGTTGCTGATTGATGAGACGGCGTTTTGCGGTGGATTCCCCCAATGCCAGGTGGGCGAGCTTCGGCTCCGTGTTGATCAGCACAGAAATAGAATACCTAGACGGGAAAAGGTTGGGGTCCTCGCAAGGGATCTGGAGTCTTGGACACTGGCCAATGGTCGCCTGTTTGGATTGGATGGTTCTTGATGCAAGCTGGACCGAGACGTTATGCTATGGCGAGCATGTTCCATAAGGCCGGTATCGTAATTTTGACCAGAGGGAGGCATGGTGGCATGGAAGCATGTTCGACGTAGCGGTGCGAGCGAGAACGAGAGCTACACAGTAGACCCAATAGACGGGGAGACCAGCGATCCGGGCTCTAGCGAGAGTTTAGCCCCTGAAAACGGCCAGAACTTGGAGAATGGTGGGTGGCACACTACTGTGGTAGGTAGAGTGGTGAGTGGATGGTGCGTGATGGTGCTTTGCATTGACGTGCGGTTTTGTGGTAGTGTAGTAGTGGTGTAGTACCAGAGGCACAAGATGTATCCGTAGGTACTTTTCGGCACCTTGAGTTGAGGGTTCCGGTCAAGAGCAGTATCACGATGAGACTGTTGCTGATGCAGTGATGGAGTCGATGGGGTTGATACTCGCTTGTGCTCTAGCTGAAAGCTGGAACAGACGACGGGAGGAGGAGTAGAAGTCATTCCTCTTGGACATGGCGATGGCGAAAATCGATGCCAAAGCCAGAGCCAGAGCCAGAGCCCAAAGCAAGGCAATGTTGTGTCGCAAGGGGAAGGGGGAAAAGAGATTCCCATCAGATGGGACGGAATGCCAGAGGCGGTTGTTGTCTTGGATGGATGTCTTGGATCGTGTTGGATGGTGAGCGGGTGATGGTCTCCGTGATGGCGCGGGAGTCTGAGCGAGTGCCGGGGCGAAGGGCCGTGGAATGATGATGCTCCAGCTCGAAGGATTAGTGCTGCGAACCTTCCGGTCCACCGCCCTTGGGGCCCAAGGTCCTTGGGATTGGGTCACTCACTGGGTGTGATGGAGGGTGGTGGTTGGTGGTGGTGGTGGTGTTGTGTGTCTGTAGGTTTGATTCGATGCTGGACATGATGGACGCATCGCACTGCTGCATGAGCTGTGCACATATGGCTTGGATGCTTGGGCCAGAATCTGGAAACAGGTGCAATGACATTTGCAGAGCAGAAATGTGAATTGTGAACAGTTAACAAGAAGCAGCCGCAGCTACTCACCTACAGGCAGAAGGCGATGGTGACAGAATCCAGTGATGTGCAGGATGCAGCAGCCAGAAACGCGAGGCCCGCAACAGCTCTCGGATGCAGTTGGAACTTGCAGCTGGCAGAGGATGCGAGGAACTCTACGGAGTATCCGTATCTAAGGTACCTTACTACACTGTCAAACAGTAAGGTACATACAGGTACGCAGGACTCCGTAGACGAAGTTGAGTTCCTGAGGGCTGAGGAAGGAGGAGAGACCGAGAGACAAGGTACAAAGGATACTTGCCCAAGGCGGCACATTGTTGCAGATGGAGGGGCGACTTTGCCTTTGACCTCGAGTCACGTCTCCTGGCCTAAGGAAGACTACGCGGTGATTGGCCGACAAGGCTTCCATTCATCACATTGACTAGCCAAGTTGGGGTCGCCGTCGGATACTCAGTACCTCGATCTCGGAATGAGGAAGTTTCCTTGGTCGAAGCAGGAGTGATGGAAGAGCAAGAGAGCACCTGACATGGCCACCTCATGATTTTCAATGCTCGATGCACATTAAGATGCCTACATAGGTGCCTATCTTAAGGCTTGCAATGAGTCAATGATTAGAATCCCGTCCTCTGGCGTGAGGTAATGCATCAGTCATTGTACCATGAGTCAACTCGAACTTCCAGGTCGGGGTGGTTCGACTGAAGTAGGTATGTACAAACACACGGGGCAGGGCAATCTCTCAGCACCGAGCAGACAAGTCTTGCCGGATATGACCCGCGCAGGTATGGTATAAGGTATGGACGTGTGGAAGGTAAGGTGCCTGATCCGTATGGTTTTGCTTTTACGTAGAGTTGCGGATAATACTATAGAGTGTCCAGTAAGAAAGCAAAAAATAAAATAAATAATCAATAATAACTGAAGAAAACGAGAAAGAAATGGGATCGCTGCTCGGCTGCCGTCAGTCATCATCCCTGGCCGTGCCTTGTTACCAAGTCGCATTCCTCGACTGGATAATCAACTTTGATGAAGCCACGGCTGGACCCATCAGGCCGCCGCCGCATTGCCGACGCGGTCTTGCCCTGATTGACACTTGAGGCACGGATATTCGTACGGAATATTCAGGTAATTCTGCGTGTGGCACTGGTAAAATTCGTGCAGTCTATTTAGTTTTTTTTCTCCTTGCAACTTCGCCTTCATCTTTCTGGTATTTGCTGGTAGGTGCCCTCCTTGTCTCCTTCTTCCTGCAGGCTGTGGTGGATAGATGAAAGTGGAGTCTGTCCATTATGGAAAGTCCAGATGCAGACACAGCAGGACCTCTCTATCCTTTCTAGTGCATCTTCATAAATGAAAAGGAAGGAAAAAAGTCAAAGGGTGCGGTACAGGAAGGCACTCAGGTAAGGCGCAAAGGTACATCTGGATCTGGCGTGAAATGGCATGGTTGACCCACTCGAGAGACCCTTGTCCTCGGTTCTTGATCACATCATTGGCCCGTTTTGTCGCCCGTCTCTGACCCCACCCATCTTGATTGGTCAGGCGCTCGCCTTGAATTGGTAGAGTTGGGTGTGGAAGTGGACCCCGTGGAACTATGGGTGGTGTGCATCACGACCATCGACCTGGCAGGACCTGGGCCTTGTCTGGCGGCCTGGCCTTGTCCCCCATCTCCACTTTCTTTGGGCTCCCCTGGATGGTGCACCTGCTTGGTGCTTGGTGCCTGCCCTTTCACATCCTTGTCTGCCTTGGCCGCCCTGGCCCGTCCTGGTCTGGTTCCCTCCTCCCCCCCTCTCTCCTCCACCTTCCACCCACCCCCGTCTCCTGCCTATCCGTTCCATTGCGAGTGTCTCCTGCCACTGCATTGCTCCTGCTTCAGTGGACTCTCTCTCAAACTGGCAGCAGCGACTGACCGGGCTGCAATTGCTCGTGCTCAGCTCCTGCTTGCTGGTAGGTACTGCTTACCTTCTTCTCTTTGCTGGGTGCTCCTGCTGCCGCCGCTGCCCACACCTCTGGACCACACCTTTCATCCACCCCTTGTCCTCCTTGCCTGTGCTTCGTCCACTCCTTCCCTCCCACGCCGCCGCCGCGGCACCCACCCATCCACTCACACCACACGCACCACTCACACACACATCCCATCTCCATATCTTGCCGTCCACTCGCTGCCAGTCTCCATCTTCTACTTCTACTTTTGCCCTCTCTTCCTCTCGTTAGCTCACCGCCCTTCTTTTTTCCCTCCTTCAACCCTTCTCCCCCTCCTCTTTCCCCCCGCCGCTCTGGTCTGCGATTTGTTCGTTATCGTCGTCGTCTTTTGGAAGGATAAAAAAGAAAATTCAAAGAAAAGAAAGACAAAAAAAAGCCCACAAAGCCCAAAAAGCTTTCGCATTCTCTTGAGATCCGTCTCGCATCATTTTTTCAACCAACCGCACAAATTCTTCAGGGGTTCTGGAAGGCTTGCTCACCACAACCACTACGCAATTTCGCTCGACCACCACCACTGCATGCCAAATTCTTCCCTCATCCTCCGAAAGAGACGAAATCAGAAGGAACAAAAAGGAATCCGGACCAATCCGCCAGCAATCGCATTGTGCATTTTGCATCCTGTCTAGACCATCGACACACAACAACCCAAACTATCCGAGAAAACACTTTTTAATCGACTGTATTCTACTTCGACTTCGTCCATCCGTTTCTTCTTCGCAACAAATACATCAGAAAAAGTCCACTTCTTAATTTTCAGCACCGCTCCGTCCCATCCGGCGCATAGCAACGCAAACTCTCCCAGACGCAGGCACATCAGGTTCGCAGCTACCCCACAACTATTCGGTTTCTTGAGGAAGCTACAGTTGCCTAACTTTCTCTCCTGCCAACCTTGTAGCGACAATCCTCTCGCTTGCGCCTTGAACAAAGAAGAGTTGCTTCTTTGTGGTCCACACCTCTTTCCTCGACCATAACCGCTTCTTGCCAAGTGTCTCCAGACGCCCCAGTGCTGTCTACACATCTTCATCGGCATCACATTGTCGCCCACTCTTTCATCATTACAATCATTTTTTGTCTTCCCTTGACCTCGACGCCCGGTTACGCGACCACCTAATCTCACCCACCACCCACGCCGTCAATCGATATCATCCAAAACACTGCCGATTTTTGGATTTCGACTTTTTGGCACCTTCAACAACTCCGTCGACAGCCTTTTGCTACGATTCCAGGACTAGCTCCGGATTTCGCCCAAGGATCGTTCGGACACAAAACTGCCTTCACGGACAAAACTGCCAACCGAGTATCACAATATCTCTCTTGACAGGCTGCGCTCCGCATTCTTCCACTATCCTTCTTGTAATTCGACCTGGTCGCCTCAGCCACTTGCAAGGCTTCCATTTCTCATTTTCCGAGTCTCGACAACTCGGATAACCCGGCAATTCCGCCAACTCATTTCCGCGACCGACATCGATTGCCGTCTGAGCAATGGACGCAGGCGGTCTCGCTCAAATGAACTCAACAAACTTCTCCTCGGGCAACAGCCTCGCCATGCCTGGCGGAGGTCTCGCCTCGCGCCGCGGTGGCCCCGTCAAGCCTCTATCGCTGTCCAGCGCCACTCCCGGCAGCAACGCCGCCGACAATGGGGCGCCTACTCCCCGTACCAGCCGCTCCCATCTTCTTGCTGGTTTGAGAACCGCTCCGAAGTCCGCTACCGCCGCCAACTTTTCCGCTACCAACAACGCCAACGTTGCTTCGCCCACGTCTCAGTCTTTTGCTGCTAGGAGCAACAACCTGAGCTCCAACATGTATGCCCAGGCTCAGGGTAACCAGTACAACGGCCCCAAGACAGCCCTTCCTCGGTATGCTGGTCAGCAGCAGCAGCAGCAGCAGCAGCAAGCCTACCAGTCTGTTCCCTCCAGCCAGCATTACAGTGCTGAGCAGGTTCTTGCTCCTCCTGAGATTCACTTCGATGAGCAGGAACAGATGGACCCGAGCTTGTACGCCCAGCTGGTTGCCACCAACATGTACCTTGCTCAGCAGCAGCAGCGTCTTCAGCAACAGCTTCTCAGTGTTCAAGCCGCCGCTCAACAATTCCAGGGGCTGAATTTGCAAGGCGCCCAGCAACAGATTCAGCAGCAACAGCTCGCCATGTACCAGCAGCAGCAACAGCTTCAGAGCATCCAGCAGTCGATGATGGGACAGATGCAGCAGCCTCAGCAACAGGTCTACACGTACTACGACCCCGTTACCCGTCAACAAGGCTACTACATTGACCAGGGGCAAATCGACCAGCAGGCTCAGCTGACTCAGATATACGCCGCCTTGGCTCAGCAGCAGCAACAGCAACAGCAGCAGCAGCAGCAGCAGCAAGCTCCTCGCGTCCAGGTGTCCCCTCCTCCCGAGAACCACGCCACTCCGTATCGTACTACAACCCCTCCCAAGCGCTACGAGTCACCCTCTGAGGTTGCTCCTCTGCCTCCCCCGTCGGCGAATGCCTTTCGCCGTGGCCATAAGAAGGTCATGTCGCTTGCTCTGAACGGTAACAACCAGGCCAGCCTCTCGCCTTCCCAAGAGCCTCCCAAGTCTGCTGGTCCCAAAACGGCCTCTTTCCCGTTGACTCCTTTGTCCGGCGGCTACGGGCCCGGTCAGGGACGCGCCGGCGAGCACCCCATTCGTCAGCCTCGTGGACCTCCTTCCATCGAGGAGTTGAAGGCCAAGCCCATTGCAAAGATGGAGGGCAGCAAGAACTTTGCCACCCGCGCCCGCCGATCTGCAGTTCACAACCTTGTCCGTGCTGGACGTGAGCGTAGAAAGGGTCCAGGCAGTTCCAATGGTAGCATGAGCCCGGTCTCAGAGAGTGCTGAGGAAGAGTCTGGTACCCCCATCACCGACAATGAGTCCGACTCTGGTCGCAGTGGATCCGGCAGCCTTGCCGGCGATATCGACTGCTCCCTGCCTAGCTCAAGAACTTCGACCAACGGCAGCTGGGGAGCTATTGGCTCCGACCGCCCGAGCTCCCGTCAAAGAACTCGCAAGAGTGTCGACAGCATTGGCAGCAACGAGAGCGGCGAGAACAGCTTCGCCAGCGTCTTCAAGAACTCGGCCCAACGCGCCGGTGTTGAAGTAGCGGACGGACAGCGCAAGGCGCCCATGCTGGTCTTGACCAGCGCCGAGAAGCGCAAGAGCGGCATTCTTGCGTAGACTTGTTGGTCCCCGGACGTTACGACGACTATGCACACCTATGTCTTTCCTTATTGACGACCTGCATGAGGGGGAGGTTGACCCTCGTCCCCATACCCTGCAGGATTGAACGATGGGTTGGACGGTCTGGTGCGCTCTTACGAATCATATGGTGTTCTTTTCAAAGGGTTAGGTGGCTCATTTTACATTTCAGCATCCGAGGCTTGGTTGACTCACAAATTCATTTTCACTTCTTTTACATTCTTAACCAAGTCATGGGATTATCGACAGCCTCTCGCTACTGATATTTCTCGCATGGCTCTGGACAAGCAACACCTCACAGACTCACAACAGTCTTGGAGCTGGACGGATCGAGAGAAAGATATACCATTGGGGCAGGGGAGTAAGGAAAGATTTGGGCCAAGCTTGGGTTTCTTTCTTCTTAAGTGAACATGGAACTTTGGTTCTGCGCGACGGGACTCGGAACAATTTCCTGAGATGGAATCGGATGAGCCCGGACGACGTGAGACGCTTGCTTTTCGTTTTCTCTTTAAGGTCCTCGTGGGAATTCTCTACATCTAAGGCAAACACAAATTCGCAGTCGTTTCGTCGGCGCTGGCTGGAAAGTCGCCCCGACGATCATGATGATGGCGGCTGACAGGACAGGAACGTAGTTAGCATAGCAATAGGCACAATACAGATTGATGCCCAACATTTGATTTGTCCATATTAACAGCGCCAAGTGATTGATTATAACCAAGTTGTACGGTGCGTAACCCTATTTAGTCTATGCTTTGTTGCCCGACTTGAATGATTCCGCCATCTTGTCAAACATCTTTTTCTTGTCCGTCTCGACGTGAGCAAGATTCTTGGCCGGCCCAACGATGATTTCATCCTCCTCCCCCTTCTCGAGCGCGGCCCAGGTCTCATCGGTGAACTCTTCCAGAGGCATACCAAAGTTGGTCTGGCCCGCCGCGACCAGGTCCGGCTGCTGGGAGTGCAGCTCCGTCTGCACGGCGGGCGGGACGACCTCGATGACGCGGACGTGGGCGGAGGACGGGCTCGACTGCAGCTGGGCGCGGAGGGACCAGGCGAGGGAGTGGAGGGCGGATTTGGTGGCGCAGTAGTTTGGGCAGCGGGGGATCGGGACGAGGGCAAGGCCCGAGGAGACGAGGATTATGGATGTCGTTGTTCGAGCGGTGCTGATGCTGGTGTTGAGAGATTGGAGGTGTGGGAGGAAGTGGGTGATGAGGTGGATTGGGGCGAGGTAGTTTGTTATTAGCTCTGTTGAGACGGAGGGGAGGGAGATTGTGGAGGGGGAAGTGAAGTCTATGCTGCGCTGGATGCCTGCGTTGAGGATGATTGTGTCTAGGGTTGGGTGGGTTGATGTTATTCTGGATGGTTTGTTAGTTTTAGCATGTTGTCGATATGTGGGATGGAGGGGGCTGGCAGTTGAGGTATCTCTGGTGACGTTGCCGTGCTTTCATGACGGAGAGGATGTAGAGACGAGGTAAACTCACTTCTCGACCCACGCCGGCAGGGCCGCGAGGTCGGCGATATCAAACGGCTCGGCGGCGACTTTATCGGCGCCGTGGGCGGAGACGAGGGCGTCGAGGCGGTCTTCGCGGCGGCCGACGGCGATGACAAAGGTGCCGTTTGCGATTAGGCGCTCGGCGAGGGCGAGGCCTATGCCGGATGTCGCGCCTGTGATGAGGGTTGTTTTGGAGGGGAAGGGCATTGTGGTTGTGGTGGTTGTGTGTGCGCTTCGGTGGTTGAGCTTTTGGAGGGCTGGTGAGTTGTGAGTCTGGCTTTCTTGTTGCGAGGCTGGGAGGTGTATTGGGCTTTCGATCCCTCTGATCGAAATAATGGTGAACGTCGAGCTTGTTGCGGGGTGGTGGTCGAGCCGATCTTGAGCCGATGGGGTTTTGATAGGGTGTCTGAGGTGTGAGGGTCATTGTAACATTCCCCCTGCTTCCGCGATCGCGGATCCGGTGGGGCCGGAATATATGAGCGGGGGTGCAGCCGGCTTTTCTTTGAGCGATGATACTCGGGACGATGTGACGTTGATAGAGGAGGTTCCGTACAGGCGGATATCAGTGGGGGCTGTTTGATATGTTGGAGATCGGTCGATGGGGGTGTTTGCTCTCAATCTGATGTTGTTGCTTGAGGCTTGTGTCGATCGGACGGTTGTTAATGAAGCTGAATGACTTGAGTAGGCGGTTGTCGTTGAGGTGTATACTTCCGCCTTGGATCACTATTTGCTCACATTGGTGTATCTGTTGCAGCCAATGTGCATAGAGTAGGGAACGATCACAACGGTGAAGACCGAGGGCTATTGTACAAGCTGATATGATTCTTCTGATCAAGATGAGTGAGTGGGCGAGTGCGAATGGAAAAACGACGATGGAAAGCTCTGTTGAGAGATGTACACCTTCACTGATTACGTTCTCTGAGGTATTTATAACTGGATGTAGGTGTGAAAACAGGGCGAGAACACAAGAAACACTATATGTTCGATGATCAAGTATGGGTAGCAATACGGGCAGGGTGTGGTGATCACTCCAAGTTATGCGGCAGGGAGCAGTTTATGGCCGTCAAGTCTAGGGGCATGGCAAGCCAGCTGCGTGTTAATCAATTCAGGCCTCGACTTTATATCCCAGTAGGAACCAAATATGGGCTGCTCAACAAGTGGCCCAAGGCGATACTTGGCATAAGTGGAGTGGTAATGACAATCGAAAAGCATCTGGCAATGGTCAAGTAAGATTGCAAGAAAACTGCTGCAATATGGCAAAGGTCTCAGAAAGGGGATTGGCGATCGCAAGGAAACTAGAGCCGGCTTAAAAACATGGACTGATAAGAATGGAGGGAATACGATACCTATTTGAGGGGCTCTGTTTATAACCCAGGACTGAACCCCGATGAGAGCATCCGGCTTCGAGGATTGAAGATGATTTAAGCTCCATTGACTAGTCTCAAGCCAAGTTGAGCCTATGTTGGACGTGTTCCTGGTCAGTATTGCTAACCTGCTTGGGAAGTTGGCTGTGTGCGGCGCAGTCAGACCCATAGATCTATATATCACTGGGCCGTCTATGGAGACAGAGGGAAAAACCCCAACTTCACTCTTCCAATCATCACCACCTTTGCGCCTCTAGCTTATTCTCCCAGTCAGATTGAGCCTCCACAGTAACCCATATCTGGCTCGTAGCGGTCCACGATGCCCACTTTTGACTGCTTTCCCCTGCTCCACCTCGAAGTGCGTCAACGCATCAGGGAGCTTGCCATGGAACCCCGCCAGATTGTGTACGGCGAAGAACCACCTGCCTACAGGCAGTGCCCCTAGCCATCATCTGCGCCGTCGCCTCCCCTACTTCGCACCTGCCTCGAATCTCGGACGCATCTCCAGCGCTTTCACGCCAAGCTGAATGTCCGACGATGCGCAAGGTCATCATTCTTGGAACAGACTGCGAGTTGTTCTACTACAACTATTGCTCAGAGCTACGTCACATGGAGCGTCTGGAAACTGTCACAATCCTTCATCTGGAGTCACCGGAGAGAATAGACGAGAATTGGTGGGCCGGTTGGGATGACATGATGGCCGGCTACTATTTCCGTGACGACCCTGTCGCCTTCTACACGCGGATTCTTGACCCCAAGTACCCGCCTTACGAGATCAACCCGGAGAAGTACCTGAAAGTTGAGCGAGCCCACCGAAGAAGGCTGGTGGCGGAGCAACCCGACTAGTACGAGCCGGGCTATGAGGTATCCGACTCAGACGACGACGTCTGTGGACCAAACCGCTTTCGCAAAGGCTACGGCCGTCATCTGGAGGGCTACACTGCGCCCCCGTGGTCATCCAACCAACCTGTGCAGTCAGGATTGGATGGCGCGCATGTACATCGGAAGAAATTGAGTAGAGCGGCAGTGGATCAAGTCGTAAAGTAGAAGGGTGGTTGGCGATGGTCAAGCACGCCGGTGAGAAAAGGAGGATCGTAATGAGGTAGATACCCAAGTCGTTAAAGAAGGCATAGGTAAGGTAACGTGTAGAAGGTTGAAACCTAGAGAGACTGAAAGTGATCCGCTGCCTCAAGTTAGTAACTACTTGTTTTAGACACACAAACAATAACGCTTGTATCACAATGAAAAAGTGCCTTGCGACTAACTACAAGTACCTGCGAAAACAATAATAGGCACAGGGGTGGAGAATAACGACTTGGTCTCGCGGAACGCATGTCCCAAGCCCGCCGCAAGGTTCCTTCTTTCCCTCTCAACACAAGTGATGATGGACTATTGCAGTAGAAGTTGCAGCTATTCGTTGTCAATAAACAGAACCAGCCCAGCCGCCTATTCAGCGTAAGCCTCGCTCAACATAGACTGTAGTCTTTCGGCGATTCTGTCGTTCTTAATGAGAGGGACAGGGTAATACATGCCATTGTCAAAACATGCCGTGACGAGATGATGGATAGGTTCGTCTGGTGATTGCCCAGCTTTCCCCAAGTAGTATTCGAAGCCTATTCGCGTGGCCTACGTGAGGGCATCAATGGAGATGCTGTTACCGCCAGGTGCCCAACATGAAAAGTTCAGATGCTGGAAAAACAGATCTTGTATCTGATTTACCTATGGATATGCATGACGTTCTCACGTGGTCACAAAGTTCGGGTTTTATGATCGAGCAATAGGCCATCGTCTAATTCGAGGAATATCAAATTATAACTATCACGCAGATTTTGGCGCCCACCCGACCCGCATTCCCTTCTCCGTACCAAACATCTTTCTTTTGACAGGATCACTCACGGCGAGAAAAGCCCAATGTAGCCAGTACCCTCATGAATGACGTCTTGGAGTTGTAGTTGCTGGTGGGAACGCCAAGTTCCCGCTTAGCGGCATCAATAAGAGTCAACGCGTTCTGGCGCTGCATCTTCTCGATGTCATTGACCTTTTTCGCGGTGTCCAGTTCCTGATGGAGATGCCGGATTTCCTTGGCCAACCTCTCCATCTCCTCCATCTGCATCAGCACGTATTTCTGAGCACGAGCAACGTACCCTTCGTATTCCTTTACACATTTGTACGTTAGTAAGTGCGCTTTACAAAATTCCGAGCTCCACAGGCGGGGACTGGGGAAGGCTTAGGTTTCAAGTTACCGCTTGGAGTTCTTTCAGTTGATCTTCGAGATCTCGGATATCTCCTGCCCATGACTGACTCTTCCAAGGCGCTTCGCCGGGCTCAGGCTCACGCCATGGCGTAGATGACATTGAGTACGCGGGAGACGGCTCAGAGGGGACCACGATGATTTGATGACCATCTTCGGAACATGGCGACTGCTCGGTTTTTTCTATCATTGCTTCTTGCCGGTTGGCTGTCTAGAAGCTGAAGGTTACTTGGCGGAGGTTGGGCGTAAATTATGATACAATTCTGAACCGAATATAATTGAGGGGACAATTTAGGACGTTATTTGGAATTCCGCGTGACTTATGTGTAAGTCGATAATGTATCAGGATTGACTGTCAGATGATGTTCAATTCGGCTATTTAGCATCTACTTACTTATATTCGAATAAGTACTTTTCGATATGTTGCACTAGAAAGATTTGTTTTAAGCATGAGTTGTCTAGAAGCTTCAACGACATTCACGCCTGGCAACATTGTATTTCTAGAAATCCGACTTGGAATCCCTCCTCAGCTCCTACAGCCTTGAGATCTTGTATTCAGCCTTGAATGTCCATAGAAAGCTTTCCCGACCAATATGAAGCTCTTACTAACTAAGAGTGTTCACATGAAACTGCATTTTCATTAAGAATCACTTGAATTGTGTTACTTATACACCATTGACTTCTCGATTATCTTTCTCCTTACTCTATCGAGAATAGGCACCTGTAAGACGAATGTAAGGGCGTAGGCAGAAGTCGTCTAGAGATCTGCAAAGCTTGCATATGTCAATTCCCTGTTGTTGTCTCTGTCATGTGAGCTGGCGACCAACTCATGCTATGACATCTCACCTTTTACTCCCATTAGGTTGGAACATTTAGGATCAGAGCTTTATGAACTGTACTGATTGATGTGGTCACATCTCATGAGGAGATGTGGGATATTGTGCCACAGAACAAGCACATATGAATCAAGCCTCCGCATTCGCCACGAAGTGGCTGACAAGGTCTCAGCATCATTTGGATCACTCTTTCACCAGTCCATTTCTACATGAAGAATAGTTTCAGAACTAGGCCTAGATTTCTCAAGAACCCCCTCAGAGGTTCCAGTACGTCTCACTCACTGCCCGCTCAAAGCCATCTACCGTTAGTTACCGAGAGGGAAGTTCCGTCGCTGAAGCCGTGATGGATATAAGAGTCTGGAACATTTCCAGTCGCGCACGTGCCCACTATTACTGTACTGCCCAGATGCAAAGGACAGGGGCGGGCCAAGGGGAAACTTGGCGCCGTCTGTTGCCCTGAAACTCCTGCAGCCACCACTCAATTTCCCTTTTGCTCCCGTCGAATAACGCTACGCGACGCCACTATTTCCCCAAAGTTCCATTCTCGGTTGATTATCGCCAAGACGGAGAGATGGGGGCGAGGCGCTCTTGGCTCTGCTCCGAGCGTCACTCGGAAATAGAAACCGACTTCACGCCCACATCACGGTCGAGGGTTCTCTGCAATCCCTCTGTCTGCTGTCGTTCCAGAACGCAGTCGACGCCGTGTTGCCAGGTGTTTGAGGGAATTGATTTGGCGTGCAGCAAGACCTTCGACAACGTCAAAGAGAGTGAGGCTTGGAATTGGCGGCGACGAATACTCGGGTGAGTCGGATGACAATGTCTGTCAAGTTGTCATCGCCGTTGGAAAGGCTGGTCGCCCGAAGGCCTCTCTAATGAGGAAGCTCTAGAAGCGAGTAGGAATCTATACCATCACACAGCAGTCATTACGTAGCAGTATCAGAGAATCAACTCTCGCATACCGGCAAATTCAAGTCGCTCGAGAGTGGACGTGAAGGCCAAAGGTGAGTACTATGGCTTAGCAGCCCAGTAATGAATCTGATGATAACCTGATCGTTGAAGCTGGCCAGCCACTTTGCGCTTATCGCGGAGGCGAATTATCCAAGTAATGCAATTTAGGTCTCAAAAGTGTTGGCATTGCTGAGAACTGCATGTGGGATTTCCAGACATGTGACGTGAGGTGTTATTGATTACTTACTCTGTACTACAGTAGCATCATAAAAAGGAAGAATCCTCTGATGCCAATTCGTCAACAAAGGGAAATGCCAAGAGTTGGTATCTGCCCACTTTTGATATAACTCACAGCTTCCCCATTCATCGATTCATCCACAAAACAAACAGCATTTGCCAACCTTCCACTTCTTGCCATTTCGTCGCAGCCAAATTTCGGTTTGTCGCCAGACTCCGCAAGGTCCGTGCAGGATTCTGCAAGGCCGGACGTAGCAAAGGCCGTTGCTCATTACTCTCTCGGATTACCCCCGCATCCCTCAGTAACACGATGTCGCACTTACATTCCTCGTTGTCAACGATTCTCTATGAGAGAGACAACTGAACAGCATCCTTTGAAATTGAAGCATCTACCTTTACAAGCGTTTCTTCTTGCAACATTACGTGCTTCTGCTGTGCCCTCGGAGGATTTCTCTGCTTATTGTCCGGAACGGGCCGTCTACGAAGCTGGGCATAATATGCCGGGTCCCACGGGTGTAGGTAGCTGTTGTGGCTAAGCATCAACACCACAGCTATTACTTCTTGTCTTCTGCAACTGCCCACGGCACTCATAGTCGACAACTCTGCATATGTCTTCGATCCATCCAGGTACTCGAGATTAAGTTTCTAAGCGCCAGTCGCCTGACCAAAAGAGCATCCTCCCAAGCAAGCGAGCTGCTCGTCAGACGCCAAGAGATAGTAGGGTAGCAGCGCTTGATAGGTTGGATGCGCCGGCAAACCTCTAAGAGGTGGAGAATTGCCGCGCCAAGACACCAGTTGTTCAACGCCTGCCATTCATCTCCCAGTCGTTTCCTCGATACATGGGTTGGACCACGACCTCACACCCGCACTTGATGTTTCCACGGCCTACCTCCGTCCTCCGCGGCCCCCTCTTGGCCTTCCTAATACGCTCGGGTCTGTAAGCCATCATGCTACCTTCCCGAAGAGAGGGCCGACCGAAAGCCTCATGGGCGAATTACTTAGTCGCCTGGCCGTCCGGCGCTGTACATCTCCGATGCGGGCGAGCATGTTCCCGTTGGCCTTCCGAATCTGAAGATACAGCCGCTCCGAAGCCGATGATCTGCACCTCATTTAAGCATAATGCCAAACTTAAACAAGCGTGAGAGGCGTGAGTTGGCGAGACCCAGTGCCGGGCCAAGAGATCCTGCACCTTATTGCTGAGCAGGCTAACAGCTCCCGTGCTCCCCAACCGTTGCCCCCAACACGCCCAACCTGATTCCTATCTTGAGGATCTTGTACTCCTTCCTATTTAGCAATGCGTATACCATCGCATCGCGGGGTAGGCGGTAGCCTCCAAAGACACCTTGAAGGACTCACCCGACTAACACTGCTAGCACTTCGCGGGGTAGCTCCCTTCTCAAGTGCCTTTTGAGGAAGGCGGCGGGAGCTCTGGTGATATCATGGCTGCAGTGACATCGCAGGGCGGATATCTTTTCGAGAGCTCCTTGTGGAACGCCCTGTTGATACCGGGGAAACCTGCGGTGACATTGCAGTGCAGATGTCGTCCGAAGTGCCTAGTGAGGAAGTTCCGCTGATCTCTTGGAAGTCTGCGGTGACATCGCGGGGCCATTGTCTTCTGATGTGCCTGTTGAGGAAGGCCCAGCTGGAATCAAGGAAACTTACGATAACATCACAGGCCGGCTTGGAGGCGAATTGGGAAGGAGGAGTTCCACGATGGCTGGGGCGATGGAGGACTCCATCTTGAGTAGCAAGTTAGCAAACAACAAGACCATGATTCTCGTCACGATCCTTGAGCCAAGACTAGTATATAAGTTTGCATCTTGTCGTTCAATCTGGAAGCTTTTTTTGATCAGCACTCTAGACTCATCTGACTCTTCAGCAGCCTCCTAGACTCACCTCACTTCCCATCCACCCCGTTGTCTACCTCTTCAGAACGCCAATCATGGAGCTCACCAAGTTCCTCGGTTTCCTGGCCATGGTCCTGCCCATCGCCTACGGTGCCCCCACCTCGGCCGCGACCAGCCTTCACCCCAAGATCCTGGCCGCCATGAAGCGCGACTTCGGTCTGGATGCCGAGGCTGCCACCAAGCGCGTCGCCTTCGAGCACCGCTCCGCCGATGTCGTCGAGTCCCTCAAGGGCTCTGCTGGCTTCGCCGGTGCCTGGATCTCCGAGGACGGCACCACCCTCAAGGTCGGTGTCACTGACGAGGCCCTTGTTGCCGATGTCACCTCCGCCGGTGCCACCCCCGTCATCCTCGCCAACCCCCTCTCCAAGCTCGAGGAGGCCAAGGCCGCTCTCGATGCCGTTGACATCGAGGCCCCCGCCCGCCGCGACGAGGCCTCCGCCTCTTCTGGCATCGCTTCTTACTTCGTCGATGTCGCCGCCAACAAGCTCGTCATCGAGTCCCTTGCCGGCAGCACCGCTACCGCCGAGTCCCTCGCCAAGGAGGTCGGTCTCGCCGCCGGCGAGTTCGAGGTCCGCACCGTTGCGTCGATGCCCTCCACCTTCGCCACCGTCCTCGGTGGTGATGCCTACCTCATCAACCGTGCCGCTCGTTGCTCCATCGGTTTCTCCGTCACCACCGGTTTCGTTTCCGCCGGTCACTGCGGTAGCGCCGGCGACACTGCCACCACCTCCGCTGGTGCCTCCCTCGGAACCTTCTCTGGCTCCGTCTTCCCCGGCTCTGCCGATATGTCCTACATCCGCACCGTCTCCGGAACCACCCTCCGTGGCTACATTGACGGATACGGACGTGGCGACCTCCCCGTCTCCGGCTCCACCGCCTCCGCTGTCGGCGCCTCCATCTGCCGCTCCGGCTCCACCACCGGTGTCTTCTGCGGTACCGTCGGCGCCCTCGGTGCCACTGTCAACTACTCCGAGGGACGTGTCACCGGTCTTACCCGCACCAGTGTCTGCGCCGAGCCCGGTGACTCTGGTGGTTCTTTCTACTCTGGCGCCCAGGCCCAGGGTGTCACCTCAGGAGGTTCCGGCGACTGCACTTCCGGCGGTACCACCTACTTCCAGCCGGTCAACGAGATCCTGTCCACCTACGGCCTCACCCTTGTCCGTGCTTAGACAATCAATCATCTCGCGGCCTTCGGTAGCAGCACCTGAGCTGATTTTATTCTTTTGAGTATATTTTGGACCCCTTCTGTATGTAGAGAGATGAGTATGAGGACATGAAAGCATGATGCCTTCCGATAGGGAAAATATATTTACCATCTGCAAGAAATATTTCGCCCTTAACAACCACTATTGTGAATGAGTTTCCAAACTGTAAGTAGTATGCTTTGAATGCATGTGAGTGATTGTAAAGTTTGCTCGTCACGCCTTCCATGCAGAGTTGATATCTGACCCCACAGCCACATCCGAGTGGCTGGTCATTTATGTGGCTGGTTCTGTGTGCCCAAACTCTGTCTAAGAAAAGTCAAAACTCTCTCGGCCCTGCTCGTTGAAGATGCGTCGAAGCCTGCAGGATGCAGAAGCATGATGTTTTCCAAATTCGTACTGCAAGTAATAGGCAGGCAAGAAGTTTTGCCACCAAGTGGCCGGGAGCCAGAATGACAACGTAGATCGGTTGCTCACCCTCTCGAATTTTGACGACCACCGGTTATGAGACCGCGCCGAGATCACTGTATCTCTATACGCTTGTGGCAGCATGAGAAAGCCTCGTTCCTTCGAATCCTAACGTCATGCGAAAGCGAGAGGCAAGGTAGTGCCAGTGCAGTGCCAGGCTCTTCCATGGCTCGCACGGCTCAGCCAGGTGTCCCGTACTATGGACCGACTTGACGTCTCCCCACAGCTCTCGATAGACATGATCGGATGGCAAGGCTTTCTCATTCACTTCAATATAAACGTTGGAGATTAGATCCTGACTTCAACAGTTCGACAGGTCTGACCAAAGAGGTTGAGAGACTGAATGAAAGTCTTGTTCCAGTCTTGCACTCATTGCCGCTTGAGCCACAGTCAGAGGCAATGGAGAGCGTTCAACGTAGTGCTTTGCATGATGTACGCTTCATCTTGATGCATCCAGTTGATCGACATGGAGGCATATTACGACGGCTCTCAACAGCTTGGGGAGGCGAGGGGAGTGTCTATGGTCTGCTCATCAACGGGTGACTTCTGGAAACATTGGACGGACCAAGAATAAAGAGATGCATCAAGAAGTGCATCTCTATATGTAGGATGAGAAGGCTTTTGTCTCCCAGGTCTTTCAGTGACAGTGACGATAACACGGGAGAAGTCTGGCATATCAAATGTTCGAGGGCAGAAAGACGCTGCCGGCCGCGAGCTTAACCATAGACATGGAATGCGATAGTCTATTCGGCTTACGAATTCTCGACCGACAGCTGAAACGGCCACGCAATGGATCGATATCGCACACAGATTTGCTCGGCATCTTGGCTTCACCAGCGAGCTACGAATCCCGAGAGTACTGCACCAGCAGCCTTGGCTCTCTTGAAAAACATCAGAAGGAGCACCCAGCCACGGGCCAAGCAAAGAGCCTTCTACCAAGGCGACCATTGGCATTCCCTGTGAGGTGTTCGAGCCCCAAATGTCCTGTTCACTACATACATCTACGGATCATTGCTGGGATGCAGCCCTTTCGGACCTGCGTACGCACATCGACACATTGGGGAGTTCCTGCAATGCATCCGACCCCGCCGTTTGCTTCTGCTGCTGCGTAATTATGCAGGAACTTGAGCTCTTGCTGGGATTTTCGCCGACACTAAGCTCGCAGCCGGGCTAAGAAATCTCGAACGCCCTAGCAGTCGAAGAGGACTCGAAATTCGTCGGTGCGTCTTCGCCTTCGCAGCCCCCCTCCCATTCATCTGGAGCCTGCAACTTTCAGCAGGCGGCCACTCGGCCGGGGTTTCTTCCAGTCTACAGACCAGTCATAGGGCCATGCTATCTAGGAAGAGGATCGACGGGGAACCGCGCAGACCTGCCTCCAGTTTTGCTCAGACGCCGTGGATATCTCGGCATCCGGTGGCAGGAGACTGAAGCCGGCTGGAAGGTCTTGGAGGTTGACTTGGCTCGACCGACGCCCTGAGAGGCTCTTCCGACGTACTCGTTCAACTGTGACATTGATTCTTGTCATGGAAGGCATTACAGAGTAGAGAATGTCAAGACTCTGGCAGAAGACACCTACTTCTTCCTTTCGACGGTCTCTCTCGCCTTCCCCAGGACGCACGGTTACCTGCCCGAGAGCCAAAGCCATCACCCCCGAGGTTCTCGATCGATCTAGACCTGGCGTGAAAGCCCACATGCCGTGGGAGTTTGGCCGCCAACGGGCTGTTTCTCACACTCTGTTGGACGATAATAGAATGTCAATCTAGAGATAGAACTCAGCCTTGCGCCAGACCCGGAGAACTCAAATAGAAGCAGCATGGCGTTGCACGCCACATTCCGTAATTTGGTAAAGATCTGTGTGCTTCTACGGCTGATAGCTGATCAAGAAAAGGAATGGAAGCCGTATGCCTTGGCTTGTTTCGATGCTAATCGTGCTTGTCAGCCCCTTCCTCAAAATGGTGTAGCTAAACAACTCGGGGCCGTTCTGTAAGGGCCATCGTCCAAACCAGTACACAAACCAGGACACGGATCTCTGCTCGGCAGACCCACAAGATGGGGAAGGGCTTGAAGGGTTACTGTCCGCAGACCGAACTCAGCGGCCGGCTTCGTGGTCCTGTCAAACGTGACGTCCGACGTGGACCCTGGAAGTAGGCTCTTGCGGCGGAGGTGAAGTACTGACTGAATGCATTATCAGGACAACAGTCGATGTTCATGGCCAAATCGAGGTGCGCGTGGCAATATTCTTGCCTGTTGAATTTGAAAGATGTTAAGGGAAGCAGTCATCCGTAGCCATTCTTCAATGGCGTACGGAAGAGAACGCGTCATCTGAGATAGCGATGTGGTTGTTCCATTCAGATGAACCCTGGCCGCTGGTCCTAAAGAGCCACTCTGTCGGTGTTACCAGGTTCATGTGCCTCGCCGAAGAAGGCATATCCGACAAGAGGGGCAGGCCGTGATCAGGTCGTCCGGAGTTTCCCTCAAGGCGGCCGCATCATGCATCGGGACACTCTCAGCGCAGTAAAAAGGCACAGCATTGTCCTTCCATGCTATGCATCTCCTCTACTGCGACGGCGAAAGACGAGAGAAGCTGCACAAGCTGCTTCGGAAAGGTCTGGGCACGTGGCGACGCGTTCGCCCGTCTAGATCCCCGGTCCAGGTCCAGGCATCCGGTAATCTGGAGAGGCCAGCGGATGTTTCCTGGTTGTTGAAACATCAGGCCATGCCTCATACAACTACGAAGCAAATAAAAAAAACATCTGTTGCGACTAAGACGCCTGCAGTCAAGACTTGGCTGTCTTGATTTGAAGGCGTGACTATGTGTGGTGTGTTTCTGGTGTCACAGAGGCGCGTCTACGAACGCTTCTTCTTCTCAAGCTCGCCACCACCCCGCGCCCTATCAACGGTTCGAAACCCCTGCTTCATTTGCATAGCACTAAGTGTGTGAGCCTGACTTACGGTGATTATCCGGCGAGTCACCTTGTGGCTGCCAATAGCACTCTGGCGCCCCCTGGCTGAATCAACGGCAAGTAGCAGAGACGCCAGAGAGCTAGATTTGGCAGCACTCTGAAGGCCTAGCTACGCCAGGTCAGAAGCAATGGGGTAGTTCCAAGGCTTGCCTACCCTCTCCCCCATCAAACGGGTGGCCGTAAATAGCGAAGGCGGAACACCGATGCCAGAGTTGTGCATTGTGCATGGACGTTGGGGAAAGCGCTGGAAGGGAGCTTAAGAGAGTCTGGTGTTCCTGAGGTTCAGGAGGAGCGTTATGGTGTGGCGCATTGAGCTTCTCTCGGCGTGAACTATTTTGATGGGCAAAGGCGTCGACGGTGCCTGAGATGTGCTGCCAGCTTTTCCTCGTTGGAGAGGAACTAAGACGGTCCGCGCGCCCGGTCAATTTCAACGACAGCTAGCCAGTTCAAGCCACTTGTCTGACCATTGTGATCCCGGGGGTGGAATCTGAAATTGCAACCGGCATGGCGGCCGGACTGGCTGCATTGGCGTTGCGCCAACCTCGAAAGCCTACCCACCCAAACCAACAGATTCACAGTGGAAGAATGGGACCTTTCTCACGCCGCCAGGCCTCGGGGGACGGGGAGAAGTTCATACCCCTGCTTGGCATCTGGTCCCTCTCCGTTCGCCTTTGTTACCCGGCACGCATTCGAGTTCCGCGGGCCGTTATGGGAAACCAGGAACCAATACTGGCGTGTTGGGGGCAGCTTATCGAGAAGATCGACAGCCGGGATGTTGTTATGCTGGGTTCTTGCAGAGCTCAATGCCTTTTTTCCGCGCCCCCCGTCTAATAGTTTCTGCTTTTACTTTTGTTGTTTCTTTTTTCATTCGTCTTTTGTTATTCTCGATATGCTGACATCATCCACCTCAGCCGCTTGATCCTCGCCGTTCCTCCACTCTCAGGGTCTAGCTCGTCGCGCGGCGCGCAGGTAAAGAAAACACGGACCCTTCGGCCAGCTGAGTACACCGTTAGCTTTTGCCCAGGAAGCCAAAGAGATTGTGGGAGCAAAGAGAGGAGCGACTAGAGCCAACCCGCGCTGCATCATGATGGCGACGATGGATTACAACGTGGCTAACATTGCAGATGGATATTCATGGCTTTGACCCGGGCTACGCACCTCCCGCGACTAGAACGACAAATGACTCGGCTTGATTGGGTCTGAGGTCTGGTCTGTGAGCCATGAGATTGCAAGCCGGATCTGCGAACGTGGAACGGCTGGCGTTCTCTCTGATACTGCTGCTGCTTGCTGCTGCTGCAATGCAGACACTGCACACGCTGCACATGCTGCTGCTGCTCGTGCTTGTCCTCCGCCTTGAACCTCGACCTCCTTCGATACCTCACACCCCCGTGTAGAGGACCGCGCCACGGCAGACGGCAGATCACCCTTGGCTTGTGCTCCCGGCGGCGAACTAGGCATGGAGAGAGTGAGTGCCTCTCCGTGTCCATTCCGTATATATCATGATCGTCCCTCCGCCCGTTCAAGTGAATTTTTTTGAGAGGACACCAGCTCATTATCCTTCTGGATCTCAACCTTAGATCCTATCCATTCACTTGTTCTAATTTCTTTAGTTCTTACACAGCTGCCCACAATGTCGGTTTTACGCTACATTCTTCCTACCCTGGCGTTGGCGCTGGGAGCCATCGCCGATGCGAAGAGCTTCACTTTGGATCTCACCTGGGAGACCGCCTCGCCCGATGGATTCGAGAGGAAGATGATTCTGGTGAACAAGCAGTTCACTGGACCGAGGATTGAGATCACTGAGGGAGATGATGTTACCATCAAGGTCAACAACAACCTCCCCTACGCCACAACCGTTCACTACCATGGTAAGCTTAGACAGATATCTTAATTCAACGTTCGACTGGTGACTAATATGGCTGTAGGTATTGAGCAGTTGAACACCCCTTGGTCCGATGGTGTTCCCGGCCTCACCCAGAAGCCCATCCAGCCCGGCAAGAGCTTCGAGTACAAGTGGAAGGCCACTCAGTATGGTGCCTACTGGTACCACGCCCACTACGAGGGACTCATCGAGGATGGTCTTTACGGAGCCATCACCATCCACCCCGCCGCCTCCCACCAGAAGCCCTTCAGCCAGATCTCCTCGGACAGCGCCGCTATTCACGCCATGGAGCAGGCCGAGAAGAAGGTCGTTCCTCTCCTGCTCGCTGACCACCGCCACATGATCTCTGAGGAGGTTCACGACCTGTCCAAGGCCGCCGATATCCAGTTCTCCTGCTATGACTCCTTCCTGTTCAACGGCAAGGGCAGCGTCATCTGCCGTACCCCCGAGCAGATTGATGCTCTTCTGACCCAAGAGCGCAAGGATGTTCTGGCCAATGTTGCTGGTGCCCGTATGACTGACAAGGCGTAAGTCACACCCCCGCGCAACCTTCCACAAACACCAGTCACCCTAACATTATCTAGATGCATTCCCGCTGCTGTCATTGCTCGTGGCCAAGGTGATCTGAGCAAGGTTCCTGCCGGCGTCTTTGATGGCTGCCAGCCTAGTGATGGTGGCCTCGAGACGTTCAAGGTCGAGAAGAGCAACTGTGATACTGAGAAGTGGGTTGCCTTTGACCTCGTTGGTGCCTACGGCCTCCACACCGCCATGTTCTCCATCGACAACCACTCCATGTGGGTGTACGCTATGGACGGTGCCTATGTCACTCCCCAGGAAGTGGAGGCTATTCCCGTCGCCAACGGTGACCGATACTCCGTTCTCGTCAAGTACAAGCAGCAGGGCGACTTCACCATCCGCGCTGCCTCGGTCATTGCTACCCAGATGCTTAGCGGTACCGCCCTCCTCCAGTGGCGTGAGAAGGGCCAGCCCGAGCCCACCATTGTTGCCTCTACTCCCTGGGTCGCCGACAACGGCAAGCCGACTTCCAAGGATGTCCGTGTCTTCCGCCAGGCTCTCGCCAAGCCATTCCCTCCCATCGCCATCCCCCAGACCGCCAGCGTCCTGCACAAGTTCGAGATGCGCAGCGAGGGCGGCTCCTACTTCTGGGCCCTGAACGACAACTTCCTCCTCCCCGCTGACTACGAGAATGACTCCCCCGTCCTCTTCGGCGTCCTTGCCGCCGAGAACGACCCCACCGTCGTCTCCACCAAGAACGGCACCTGGGTCGACATGGTCTTCCAGGCCACGGCCCCGCCCCAGCCCCCTCACCCGATTCACAAGCACGGCAACAAGATGTTCCTTCTCGGCTCCGGTACCGGTAACTTCACCTGGAACACCATCGAGGAGGCCGTCGCCGCCAACGGTACCCTCTGGAACCTGGTCGACCCTCCTCGCAGGGACGCCTTTGCGACGCCCAATGCCATCAGCCAGCCTACGTGGATGGCTGTTCGGTACCTCGTCGACAACCCGGGCCCCTGGTTGCTCCACTGCCACATTCAGAACCACATGATGGGCGGTATGTCTGTCATCATCCAGGACGGCATCGATGCCTGGCCCGTTACACCGCAGGAGTACGTCAATTACAACTAAAGGACATGGTCACAAAAGTCTAGTCATAAGAGTATACCACAAAACGAGTTCCCTGGGGGTCGGTAATGGTGTAATGGGAAATCTAGAAGGGGGGTTCATGGCGCGGGGCGGCATTTGATTTGCATGGACGGCTTGTTTTGCTACTCTTTTCTTGCGCGGAGCATTTTTGGACAAAATCTCTTATCCTTCCGGACTGTCATATATTCACCACAGATGCAGTAATCATTGAATTGATAATGAACATTTACACCGTTTTCCCCTCTTACAATTGGCCTCGTGATTCATGATTAGAGACGCTTGCCCACATGGTGTAGCGTGGCCTGAGTGCTGCGTATCAATCTTTCCTGTACTGGAGTCTGTGCATCAAAAATCCACGAAAGCCGTCACGACATCATATGCTTATGTCTTGGTCCAACTCGCAGCTAACGTATCGCGGCGTCATCCAGGTAGAGTGCTCTGCTTCACCGTTTGTTTTGTCCTGCTCGACGTGACGCCGTGTCACCGCGGCAGTACCACCCTAGTACATCTTCCTCTCACCAAAAACATGCCGCCTTTCCGAGCGCTTGAATAAGGTAGAGCGAGGGGGCGAACAAGGCTACACGGCAGGCCTCGTCGCACAGCAGCTGTAGGTCGATCAGCGTGTTAAGATATGCTCTAACTCGTACGTGCGTTCATGTACTCCGTACATATTATGCAGAGTGCATGCAATGCGCCTTTGAGGAGTGCCAATCTCACTCATTGCGGGCAAAAAAGAGATTTCGCCTCTTTGCCGCTTCTTCCTTCTGCTTCTAGGGTTCATGTCTCCTATTCTTCGCTCGGTGATGAACTCCGTTGCGCCGTGTCCGGGGACATTAGCATGTCTCGGCTTTACACTTAGCGGATCTGACATGTCTCTCGTTTAGACGATGGTTCAAATTGGGCTCAACATGACAGCACCACAGGTTTCGACGTTAGGGGCACTTGCAACGGACCCTTTTGTCTAATTTTCTTCTTTGGGTGGTCGAATGGTTCACCGGGCTGGCAGCCATGGCGCTTTTTGGGGGGCTTCTGGGCTGATAAGAGACATCGCCGTGCGAACGAGGAATCAGGGGCAAACGGGAGAGAAAAGAAAGTGTGGGGGTGGCTGTCTAAGACAGTCAGGATGGACGAGTGACAGGTTGAGTTCTGTGAGATGGAGGTGCATGAGATGCTATGCACTCTGCAGTCTGCACAGCCTCCACTTGGCTATCGTTCGCGTGCTTCGAATCACGTATTGCTCTCTTCCGGTACAAGAGACAAAAATGCGCCTCCAGATCGGGTACATGTACATCTAGGGGATTAGGGGGGACGTCTTTTGTGCGATGTCGCCGGGGATAAAACAACGGCAGCGCTTATTGGCGCAGAGCCGTTCGTTGGCGTTCGTATTCGAGAGTTAGAGCCTCACAGGTGCTTGGTGCCGAGCCGGCGGCTGTCTTTGGCTGTGTCTGGCCACTGGCCAGGAGATAGCCTCTGCCACTTGGCGTTGGAGCGACCGTAGACCGTTTTGCTTTCTTGCGAGGTGTTTACATTGGCAACGGGGATTCACCTTAGCTCCATGTGGTGTTGTGTACAAGACGCGGTATCATGTGATACCTTATCTGGTTGACGCTCGCGACTATCGCTGCTGCTGAGGTGACCTCGGCAGAGGGTGGTTCAATGTTGATGAGGCCAGCCGGCTATCTAGGTAGTTTGGAGATGTAGTAGTCTCCGATTAGATTAGGCTTGTTTCGTTACCTCGCGAAGAATTGATGTTGCCTTTTCAACGTTTTTTATTGTTGATTGGCAGCTTGAGTTGGTAAAAGAGATGGCCTGGCCGAACTATACTAATCTGCCGATAGATGTTGGTGGCTCATCTACTAGTAGCAACGGGCACATCTTCGATCCCCTTGGGAGCTTGTATGGTGATGCTATAACAGTGTGGTGTTTGCGATCAACCCCGCCTACGTCCCATCATTTCGTGTCGTACAAGGCATTCAGGTACTAATGTAGGTTGCAGGCTACTGCATCCCGCTCCGGCAGACCCCTTCTACCGAGCTGCCCGGTCCGAGTGGATCCGTGAACCGGGCAACATGCCGAGAGTGGGGTCAATCTCGCCGGAATCCGGCGGCAGAGAGTATTTTACTTCGGAGAAAGATATGTCTAATGCCTGTCGACTAACGTAACAGGGCTCTGGAAGCTTCTCTCGAGTTAAAGAGCTATGGTAGGTGGTATTGCGAGCATAGTTCTTCGTACACGACGCACGCTTGCTGGCTCAGCACGCCGCGCGCTTTCCGCAGCCCTCGGAAACCGATTTCCGTAGTCGGTGATCGGAGCCGACGTTGGCATTACCTACTTGAAAGTCAATACGAGTTGTACAGCCATGTAAAATAGACAATAATTTTTCCGGAGGTGATGCGTTACCATGGAACTTGAGTTGAGCACAGATCACGTCATCCAAGCTTGCTTCGCCATGTATGAAACCTACCAACAGAAGGTTAAGAAGGGTGTTGTACTCCTTTTCTGCCTTGACTAACCACATGCTGCTCGTTGTGGGTCGCCAAGGTCGGGATATTTTCTCTCAAAGTGGCTAGTAAGGACTTTACAAATGCAAGGTTGCTCAATACGGTATTCTGCAGACAAGAGCTATCAGAGGTCTTAGATGCCTGGGTGTACTGGGGCCCGGGCTGCGTCTACAGTTATGATCGTCCCTATATTCTGTAAACAAAGTTGCTATGAAATGGCTTGAGTCTCTCAAACCTGAGAAATCCTAAAGCGGGACTGATTCAAAGGCTGGCAGGGAAATTGGCATGTCACGTAGTATCCGCAGTGTAGATCTATGTTAAATCTGTAGAGGTTGCTGGGCATGAAGATGATGAAGAGCTTAACAGAAGTTAGCTCCCGTCGGATGCTCTTTGGATCCGTAGGGCTGAAAAAGCATTCTGCTTGTCTCCATTCGGACCGCGCGCGCGCACGAGTCAACTCGCACTGCCGTGCCGGGGCATACCATGGATGCGGGGCCTCTTCGGTCCCAGCCGTAGCATCGCGAAGAAATGAGATGACATGCGCTGACGTGCTGCGGTTTTTGTATCCGTAAAGTCCTCTGCATTTGTAAGTGTTGAAGAGTAGATTGGTAGACGGAGAGGTGAGGATATAAGCTTCACAATGTCCCGGGTTAGACAGGAAGAGCTCTAGATACCATCTCCAACAACTGACTTTCGTTGACAATACTACAAAACCCTCATTACCATGTCCCGACTTCTCACCCTCGTTCTGCCTTTGCTGGCTTTGCCGGCCATCCAAGCTTGCCCGACAAAGTATCATAATGCTACCACGGCTTGCGCTCAGGTGACCGGGAATCAGACCGTCAACTCGTTCCAGCTGTACCCCGAGAACGCAGACTTCGACACCAAGCGCTGTGTGGCCTACTTCAGGTAAGGTTCCCTCAGTCCATACCGAGAGACGCTCACCGCGACGGAAAAGTGCTATAAGCTAACCCTGTTAGTGTCCTCTACAATGCCAGTGTCGCTGCCTGGAACCCTACCACGTCCGAAATCCAAACCATCGAGATCCCAGGCCTGAGCTTCAACCCCGAACTTCACTCCAGCGGCGTCCGCGTCGATCCCCTCGACCGCCTCTCTATCATCATCGATGCCGGCTCCGCCTTCGACACTGGCGGCCAGAACATCACGGGCGACAACATCCTCGTCAAGTACGATCTCACCAAGAAGGAGGTGCTGTGGCAGCGCAACCTGACCGAGGTCACCGGCGGCGTGTACGGCGGCTTCCAAGACACTGCTCACGGCCCCGACGGCACCACGTACGCCCTCGGCACGTTCCCCAGCAGCATCATCCGCATCAGCCCCGACGGCTCCAAGGCCGTTGCGTGGTACCTCAAGACGCCCGCCAATCATTCCATCCACGGACTCTCCGGGCTCGTGTCCTCCCCCGACGGGAAGGCGCTCCTCGTCGCCGATAGCTCGGACGGTCAGCTCTACCGGTTCGACACCGCCAATGCCACGGGCTCGACGCCGGTCCGGGTCCCTCTTACTTCGGCGGACACCATCGGCGCAGCGCTCGACGGCGTTTCGATCCCCTCCCGCTACAACGGAACCGTCATCCTCGTCTCCGATAACGAAAAGGGAACGGTGGTACTGCACTCGGCCGATGCTAAGTGGGAGTCCGCTGCTGTCATAGGAACCGTGCCCAACGCGTACCTGGCTGATGGAGGCTCGACAGTGACGACTGTGCAGATCGGTGGCAGCGTCTACTCTGTAACGGAGTACTTTGGTGACGCCAAGGTCGCGGGAACGCTGGCCGGCAACCGAACTGAGTGGCCGTTGGTTGATATCACCGCCAACATCAACGGGTTCCTTGCTGGCCAGTAAGGGCTGGGCGAAAGGAAGCTGGGAACTAGCTGTCGTTACCAAATAGAAGCTGCAGCTGCAGTGATTACGATAGATTCATAGACCTTAAAGATGTTGGAAGCGACATCGTCACTTGTCACGCAAACTCCTCCATTTTTCTACATGTTAACTGAAACTTTGACACAATCCTGGCACACTTAGGTATAGTCAGAATGCCAGTCCCAGTCGGTCTGGAGCTTGAATACGCACCAGAAGCTTCATGCCTTTGACGGGCGTGGACCGCTCTAGCGGTTGGGAGTGGTGGCTGTAAAACCATTCCGGAAGTGAAAGTCAACGTGCATACAACTGCTGACCCAGGAGATTGGTTTGACAGCCCACAACTAGATTTTATCTCTCCACTAATATTCTGCTGGCAATCCTTCAATCCTCAATCACATTGCTGACCACCACTCTAGGGATTGGCAGGCACCAGTATTCGTGCTTACACAGACAGGGATGGCTGCGGTGGTATACGCTAGCTTGACGCCCGTCAGCACTTAACGAGAATACAAAGGAGTAGTGCAATCAGGGGGGAATTCCAGCACAAGTACTTCCTGCGAACGCGAAACCAGATAAGTTGAATACATCCGTTGCCCCAGGCATTTGAAGTTATCATCTCGATCCACGTTGCTTCTCCGGCGATCTTCGCGTGTTCGTGCCAAACCCCCACCAAGGATGGAATCTCAGAGCAAGCGCGTCGCCGTCGTCGGCGCAGGTAAGAGAAACTCCGAAGTAGCCCCTTCATGAATATGACAAGGACGCTAACGACGCCCAGGACCTAGCGGTCTTGTCGCCATCAAAGAATGCCTTGCGGCGGGCCTGGAGGTGCTGTGCTTCGAGCGCGCGCCCGCGCTCGGCGGGCTCTGGCTTTACAACCCCGATCCGAGTGCAGAGACGAGCTCCGGCATGTACCCCGGTGTCATGCTCAACTCCTGCCGGTTGACCACGGGCTACAGTGATTTCCCGATTGATCCGGCGCGGTACCCGATCTACTACTCCCACAAGCTCCATCTGCGGTACTTGAATGAGTACGCTGCGCATTTTGCCCTTGAGAAGCACATCCGTTACGAGACGACAGTCGTGGGATGCGAGCCTCGCAAGGAGGGCGGCTGGGAGGTGAGGTTCCGTAGGGGAAGCGAGAAGGATGGCAACGGGGAAGAAGTACTCGCATTTGATGCTCTGATTTGCGGAACTGGCATTATCAGCAAGCCCTTCGTCCCCGAATACAAGGGAAGAGAGTCCTTTAAGGGTGAAGTGCTACATAGTCGTTCCTATCGCAAGCCTAGCGCCTACGAGGGCAAGAAGGTCATCCTCGTCGGTCTTGGGTCCTCGGCCATCGACGTTGCGTGTGAAGTTGGCCCGCTGGCAAAAGAGCTCACAATTGTCAACCGTCGAGGCGCTTGGGTTCTGCCTCGATTCGTCCTGGGTAAACCCACAGAGGCGTGGGACAGTACGTCTTTCCCGTTGCATGCCAAACCCTTGATTGGATCCTCTGCTAACCCAGTCTCACAGGCCGTAGCAGCCAGATCTGGCTTCCCGCAAGCGTCCAGGAGTGGCTCTTTGAGAAGATACTCAACCATGCCCAAGGCAAGATGCCACCGGAGCTTCAGCCAGATCACGGCCTCATGGCACAGAACGCCACCATCCGAAGCGACTTCGTTGAAAAGCTACAGACCGGTATTTTCTCCCTTCGTCGCACCACAATCGCCTCCTTCACCGAGACTGGTGTTATCCTGGAGAATGGCGATTCCCTCGACGCCGACGTAGTCATTCTTGCCACCGGATACCACATCGTCGACCAGCCATATCTCCCACCAGGCGCGCTGGCCAGCAAAGAGGCGCCAGCCCCGCACGTTGACTTGTATAAGTCCATCGTACCGCCCACTTGGAAAGACCTCTATGTCATGGGCCAGACCGAGCAAGCCGGACCCGTGACGCCCGTCTCCGAGGCGCAGGCACGGTATATTGCCGCCGTCATCAAGGGAAGCGTAGAGTTGCCCGGTGAGGAGGAGATGATGCGGGAGATCCGCACGATGAGGGGTTGGCGGAAGAAGCACATGATCGACTCAGACAGGCACGCTCTAAATGTGGAGTTTGTGAAGTATATGGATGGTTTGCTGGCACCGTTAGGCGCGGCACCGACTTTTGGAAAGCTGTTTGGACGCATCTTCACCAGCGGAAAGCCATTGAGGGCCTGGAGTATTCTTTCGGCTGTTTACTTTGGCATCCCGGCCCCCGCGCAGTGGAGATTATTTGGTGAAGGAAGTACACCTGTGTTGGCTGAGGAGACGCTGCTCAGGACTGACGTGGATGCAAGTCAACTGAGCGAAGGAGAGAAGTCTTTCTTTTGAGGAGTTTTCTATCTTAGTTTCAGTACCTATTAGATCATTCGATGGCCAAGATTTCAATGGAATACTCCACGGATGAATGAGGATTTACTAGTTGTGCGGCACCTCAAGCGATGCTCCAGCGTAAGGTATCTGACCATATCTCACTGTGCAATATGCACATTTTCAATCTCCTTTCGAGTCTAGTCCCACAGCTTAAGTACGAGGTTATTTTCCTTCGCGAAAGCACTGCCATTGCCACCGACGCCCACGGGCTCGTAGTACTCGCCATTCTCAACTCAGACATGACTGAATGACAAGCATCTCAAATGCTTGAGACACGTCGGGACTTGTCGCACTCGCTAGGCAACATCGTCGTAGCCGCTGAGCCCTGACCAAAAGTTGATCTAGATGATTCCGAGCTTCAATCAGTGACCCGAAAGAGTCGGAGAGCTGTCCCAAGGGACGCAGTCCGTCGGTCTGCCTTTCCTGGCTAAATGGACCTCTTAATGATCCTGCTTGATAGTAGAGTTGTGAGAGTGTGTCAACAGAGCATTCGATTACAGGATCTAACGCCTTGTTGCAGCGAGTATTGCCGGTGTTATCTCTCGATTTCAGGCCAGGTATGATGTGACTGATTAACTTCAAGCCGTGGTTTAGATGAGAATGGCCTGCCTTGAATCTCTTACGCATATACTCTAGGCATATGTAGAGAATGCAAGAAACATTCCACGTGCTCCTTCAGCAACATCGATACGTAGCACGGCTAACATCAGTGATTGGTTGTGTCTGCGGGTTATTCGATGCGTGCTCTAGGTAAGTCATGAGCAACGTGTTGCCATCTCAAGTCTTGGAGAGGGGCCCAGGATTAGCCCGTGGTTCCCGAGGGATGAGTCAAGTGATTAAGATTAATTCTAGCTATCACTCAGGTTTTTGCTCGAAAGTCACTCTAGTCATCTTCGCAAGACTGCTGTCCAATAGTTCATCCGGCACTTCCATCATACCTTCGAAATCAGCACAACACGGCTGTCGTAGTCACCATCAAAGGCGTACTGCACACCCGTACTCATCAGCGTAGCACCAGAATAAGTGCCGTTGTTATCCAGAGAGTACTTGGCCGTCGGGTCCAGTCCTTGAAGTTTAAGCCGCGGTAGGGCGTGGTTGTATAGCGCGCGCACCTGGAAGTAGAACAGCACGCCTTGCGACCCGTCCTCCGAGATGACCATGGCAGCCGGCCAGTTGGACTCCTCTGGCAGACTGAGACGCCACAGATCACCTCCAATTACAATGGGGTTGACCATCTCGCCCAAGGCCAATAGCTCGGGGATCTGCACCTTATCCTCAGCGGAGATCACGGCTGGGTTCAGCTCGAGGCCAAAGGATCCGCCCATCATGGCGACATGAGCACGGAACTTGATTGGAATCGTGCGGCCAGTGAGATGGTTGGGCACCGCGGAGACGTGGGCACCCATGGCAGAGAGGGGGTACGCCAGGGAAGTTCCAAACTGAATGGAGATGCGGTCCAGGGCGTCGGTGTTGTCAGATGTCCAGATTTGAGGGAAGTAGTGAAGGACGCCAGGGTCGAAGCGACCGCCTCCGGATGCGCAGCCTTCCCAGAGCACATCTGGGAATCGCGAGGTGAGGACCTCAAAGACGTGGTAGATGCCCAACATGTATGAGTGGCCGATGCCTGGGACGGGGGTCTCGTGGAAGCCTCTGTTGTTGTCCCACTTGACGTAAGAGATGGGGGCGCTGGAGAGGATTTTGGAGACGGAGTCAATGATGAACTCCTGCACCTCTGGGAGCGCCACGTTAAGCACAAGCTGGTTCCTCCTGATTGTTCGAGGGTAGTTGCCGGCATGGAGAGCCCAGTCAGGGTGCTCATGGTAAAGAGTAGAGTTGGGGTTTACCATCTCTGGCTCAAACCAGAGGCCGAACTGAAGCTTATCTGTCGTGTTCGTGACCTCGAGGTTGGTGACCTTATTGACGAGAGCTGGGAGGCCATCGGGGAAACGCTGCGCGTTGACTTCCCAGTCTCCTAAACCGGCTGTGTCGTTCAGTCGGGGGTACTCTTGACCAAACCATCCATCGTCCAGAACAAAGAGCTTAACACCGAGTTGCGCCGCTTCTTGTGCCAGATCGTAAACGGTGCTCTCATTGTAGTCAAAGTAGAGACCCTCCCAGCTGTTGAGCAATGCTGGACGAGTCTGGTCGACGAATTGGCCTCTCATGAGGTGGTTGCGGTAGAGCCGGTGGAACTTCCGGGATACGCCACCGACACCAGCATCCGAGTATACAGCGACAACCTCAGGAGTAGTGAGGGTCTCTCCCGGGCCAAGAGGCCACGAGAGCTGGTAAGGATTGAAACCGAGCATGGCACGGGTAAACCCTTGGGATCCTTTCTCCACGTCAACGGAGAACGAGCCTGTGTAGACAAGAGAGAATCCCCATGCCTCGCCTTGGGACTCGGTAGTGTCTGGAGAGACGAGCGCCAAGAATGGGTTGTGAAGATGGGATGAGTACCCAGTTGTGCTTCCGAAGCTATGGGGGATTCAGGTCAGTCGATGGTCCTTCACGGGCACAGTAGCGGCCGTTCTTCACTCACCCCTGCGTGCCGTAGCCAACCTTCCTCCGAACTCTCATGGCTTCGCGAGCCCAGTCGCCTCTCAATTCGATCATCTCAAGGTCCTCGAATGGCAAGTCAACGCTGAGACTTGCGGCCTTGGCGATGGTGATGTTGCCCTCCCCCTCGTTGGTGATGTTGACGCTTCGGACAATGGCATCATACTTGGGGAAGATTGAGTACGAAAGATCGACGGCAATGGAGCTGTAGTTGTCGTACAGAGAAACAACCAGAGTAGAGACCTCATCGTCGGTTCCAAATGTCGCCGGAAGACCCGGCAAGCCAGGCTTTCCTGCCGTGACTCTGTAGGATCGATATTGGAGATCGCTGACCGTGTATCCCTCAGACTGGTGAATTTGTACTGCGGGGACACGAAAGTCTCCACGTCCAAGGTCGGGGTACTCTCGTCTAACCCGGCCGATCATGTCAACCCAGCCATTGATTTCCGGGGCGAGCATTTCCATGCTCTCCGTAGCCGACCCTCCAAAGTGGTCAGACAATAGGTCACCAGTCAGCTCATCCACATGAAAGCGGTATGAGGAATGGTCGCCATTGAGGGCAAAAGACTTGCCATCAACGACAATGCCTTTGTAATGTCAGTCTCGCGCATGGTGAATCCTAGCATGGCATCTTTCATACCTGCGGCTGAGCCATTTTGTGCCAACACGCGACCAGTGAAGACTGACGCGGAGGCGGTAACGGCTAGACGTCTCAACGAGAAGCCCATCGTTCCGTATGAGGATGAGGACCAAGGACGAAGGGAGTTGTGAGGAGCTTGATGCCGGAGCAGGATGGTTATCAAGCCTTCTACGGCGATGAAGAGTTTCGCGGTGAGAGCACCCGATATTTATACAATCTTCCTTTCACCTTGCATATGCAGCCTCTCCGGGTTCGCCGGTCATCTTCGCGATGCGCCGGCTCACCCAGCAGGCCACGAACCTTAGCTTCGTCAGAATTATCGGCCGTTCCCCAGAGATCAGCGAGGAGAAAATCCACCGCTAGTCCAATAACCATAAGCCAACAGGGAAGTGATCAACATGCGGGGTAGTTCCCCACGAGTTTTCCGCCTGTTTTCCGCCGCTTAATTGCACCGTCAGAGAGAGTGGGTGTAACGTCCTGCACGACAAAAACGACTTTTCCAACCCGGCTGTTCTAGCAGCGAACATGATCCGATTGCAACCTAAAAACTTCGGAGATGAGGGGTAGCTCGCTTTTGGCATCAAACAAAGCAAGAGAGAAAAACATTCTGGGGGTTGGGGAAACTTGGGTGGGACGTAGCACCCGGGGAAAACCTTGGTTGGTTGTGGCGTGAAAGCTAATGATGACATACATCCTGCATAAGGTATTTTGATGTAAATGGCTCAACACACGCTTGGGATGAAAATCGTCCGTGAATTACACTAATTAGCTGAGATGGAAAGGAGAAGAGCTAGATATTTACTACGGAGTCTAGTTGTGTTATGGAAAAATGACACATGAACGAATCTATCTAATTTACAAGGGCTGCTTCGAGGCAAGCACCCAAGGCCCTTGATTGGGTCTCGGTATGGTAGTTTGCATCCACCAGGAAAGTTTTGTTAGGAGCCATGTTTGACTCTGCCCTCAACCAACATGTCTCTACTGGCTCAGACCTGCGACAATACCCTCTCGATACGCAGTAATACCTGCGAGCGTTGCCGCGGGACCAACAACGGCCGATCCCAGAATCACTGCTGCGGCCTGAGTCAAGGCTTTCTTCGTGTTGATGTATCCGCAAAGTCGCAAACTCCACGGCGCCGTGCCGAGGGCAAGCAGCAGCGAACAGAACGTGAAGATCAGAATATCCAGCTTCGACAGACCCAGAGCCATCAAGGCCGCGTTCTCACCACCAAACAAGCTGTACTTCAAACCGAAGAGAGCAACATTGGTGAGATGAATGACTGCGGAGATTGCCAGAGTCGTGTAGTAGACAAGGCCAAGAACCGGGAGATCTGCCTTGGCGAACATGTTTTGGTACTTTTCTCTCGTGCTCTGTAACTTGGTCTCTTCGTTCTCAGGTTGCTGAGATCCAGATTGTAGTCCAAACACAGAGAGACTCCTAGCCAACAAGAAGCACAGTATTGGCGCATTGCGCCAGACGTTGATTGAGTTTGCGTCCTGGCGATACAGCGCGACGGCTGCGGGTAGGAGATATCCCGCGGCCGTGATGGGCAACACCCTCTTGGCGTTCTCGAGGGGAACGTGTCTGCCGACAATGGTGTTGCAAGACCAATGAGCAAAGACACAAGAAATTGGGGCAAAACCACCTGGGCCGAGCGTGTTGTTGAAGATGGTAAAGATTACGATTCTGGGGTGCAGTGCCTCCGCGTTAGTCTGCTCTTGGGGGAGTCTGCCCGAATACATCGGCTGTGATAGCTGGGGATCAACTTACAAGGTCACAGATGTCAGCTGGTTTCCCACGCGGTTCAAGTCAGCCAAGGCGAGAGCAATGAGCGCCGCAGTGTTGGTCATGAACTCGATAGCCGGCAGCATCGACGCATCTCCATGGTTGGAAGAGCACAGGACGTCGACCAGCGTCTCCAGGCTCCTAGGCAGACGCAACACCCCTGCCGCGACGGCACAGAGTATACACATGAATGCGACAGAGAAGAGCTTGTTCAGACTGCCCAAGCCCTTGAGTGGCTTCGCTGGCAACTCATCCTCGAACAACACCGCTCTAGGACGATGAGGCACTTCTAGTCTCTCCAGCTTCGTTGCGGGGGCGCAGAACTCGACGCCTCGGTAGACGACTCCGAAGGAGCCCAGCAAAGGCATTAAGTAACGCGCAATCATCTTACCCATTCTGGTTCGTAGCGTGAAGGCGTCCTGGAGCCAGTAGCCTTGCTTGACAATGTGTTGAGCACGTTCCTATCCAAATGAACGGCCAAGATCAGCCTCCGAGTTCGCCGCGAGACCTCAAGTCTTCATTGAGTATGACTTGTCACTTACAAAGCGCTTTTCTTGCACCTCAGCAAAGATGCTCTCCAACTGCTTCTCACTAAGACCACCGGGGGTCTGGTCAAGATTACGCAACAAGGCGTTGACCAGATGTGCAGCTGATTCGATTGCTCCATTACCGCCTTGACCCGTCACGGGATCGACCTATTCGATAACGTCAATCAGCAATTGTCCTGTTGACGCACTTTCCCTCAGTAGCATTCACGCGTTGGGTACCGACCTTGTGTGCAGAATCTCCGATGGTGATGGCCCTCTTGTAGTGCCACTTCTCAAAGACATAGGTTTGAAGCGGCGCCAACGTCGTAGCAATACGTTTCTCGTAAAGGTCACCAAGTGTCATGTTTTCCAGAATCTGGTCGTCCCAGTGCTGCTTGATAATACGCTCCTCGTCGGCCTTGGTATACCTGTGGAAGGAGATCAATTCCAGTCTTCTAGACTTGCAAGTGGTAACATACCTCGGGATATCTCTACCATAGAGGGTCTTCAACTCCATGAACAAAAACCAGTACACGCGGTCTCCCGGCGCAGCCATTACAAAGTAGCTATGACCAGGCGACATCGTGTTGTGCTGACTGGCTCCGGGGTATGCCTTGGGCCTGTGAGAGATGCCAAAGACACACAAAGTGGAGGCGGGGACCTTGGATTCCTCATCCAGGGGGAAGTATCCGGTCGGCGCTTGTCGCCACATCTCCTTCCTTACCGTGCTGTGAATTCCATCAGCTCCGACGACAATGTCCCCGCTGAAGACCTTGTTGTCTTTGGTGGTGACAAGAGCACCAGATTCGGTAAATTCCACGGATACAACTCGTTGAGAAGTGAGCACTCTATCCTTGTGTTTCAAGTTCTCATACAGAACTTGAATAAGCATCTGCCTGTCGATGAAGATCATTGGATATCCTAACCTGTTCTATTGTCAGTTGTGATTCGCAAAACTCCACAAGCCACTTACATTTTCTCCCACATGTCCATCAAATCATGTTGGTAGCTGAAGATTTCACCATTCTCTCGCCTGAGGTAGGCGTGTTGGTATACTTGGTCCTCAGCTTTAGCCCGGTACGCTTCGTAACAACCGAGCTGATCGAGAATCCGCAAGCCATTGGGCAATAGTCCAATACTGGCTCCAACCTGGGGGGCAATCTCAGGATAGGCTTCGAGAACAACATAGTCAATGTTGAACTTCTCGAGCATGTTGGCGAGCGCCAAGCCAGCGACGCTACCGCCGACAATGACGATCTTGAAGGTCATGGTTAAGCGCGTAAGGCTTAGCGTAAGACTTGGTCTTGATGGTATCGGAAGATCAAAGTTGTTGTATCAGAAGACGGCAGACTCTCCATGTGATACTCCGTGATTCGACCAAGAGGTCGCGAGTTGAATCTTATTGCCGCAAACGGACACTTAACGACCCTACGGTCCGGACGGGGAGTTGTTCATCTCCGTCCGCCAGACCCGCCCTGCCGCCCCGGGATCATCACGACCTTGTCAAAACCCACCGGGGCCGGGGAATGATTGGTGTTGATTGTGTCGTGTATGTAGACCTCCCACCGGCTCTACCACGCAGTGCTCTCTAGATCCATCTCACTAGTCATGCCTGGAGGTCCACAGGATCCAATATCACTGAAACCTGTAGCTATCCCCAGGGCACGAACCCATAATGATTCCCCAACAACCTGTACCGTCGATGGGGATCGTTTGCCAAGAAAATTTTCCCAGAGGTGACTATGCCCCGTCACCAGGTTTCAACGATGCTCCGATCTAAAGACCGTTTCATTCGGCTGCCACGATCTCGGAATTGGCCCTTGAAGTGCTCGGTCTCGCATACAATGCAGTGGCAATGATTGACTTAGTGGTTTATTCCGGCTCTCCAGGCGCAAGAGATCAACCTGAACAAGACTTAGCTTTCAAGGAAATCACACGATGCGGCACAATAATTGAAACCATGAGGTATTTGACACTAGACGGTTGGAGGTAGCACGCTACTTCACTTCTGGGAAACATGGACTGGCATGGCCAAAGAAGGTCTCTGTCGGTCCGGCCCGGCTTAGGTTGGGCCAATGTCAGCTAAGAACTGCTAGGTACCCATGCACCCATGTCAGCCGATTCCGGCTAGATGTCTTGAGTAACGGTGAGGAAGAAAATAGCTGAAGGAACCAGGTGCAGTTGTTTCAGTGACAGTTGTTTCGTTGCATTACCTCGCTTTTACGCCATTCTACCTCACAAAACCTGTAACGATAGGGACGATTTGAATGATAATGGTAGTTCAGGCTTGCGGCGTGTGTGCTTCTGCCTCTTTCAATGCCTCCAAAAAGCGATTCAGACCTTCTTGCAAAGCATCTTTGCCGACTGTGAACGTTAGCCGAAACCACCCATATTCCTCCGCCACATACACGTGACCTGGTGCAACCAAAACTCCATGCTTCATGCAGATATCGGCGATTTGTACCTCGCGCTGTTTGCAGGTCTTTTCCAAAGTAGATTCAATGTCCGAGGAGTCAAGCATGAGTTGATGCTGCGGGTCCTTTGGCGACGTGATCAAATGTCTAAGGTCTACCCAAATAAAGAGTCCAGCATTTCTTCACACATAATGATTAGTCTAGCGATTCCAAAGTATCTCAACTGCCACACTTACGTATCGAAGTACCGAATATCATGCTTGCGCAAAAACGAGGTTGTGATACGGTGGTTGACGACCATGCGCTCTGCTTTCTCTGCCGTAAACGCAGCGAGCCAGGATTTGTTTTCCAGCATAGCGGCCCACACATCCTGGATGAGGTGCGGTGACCACGAGAAGATACTTTGATCTTACTTAGATGATTCATCTCAGTCAGGTCTGGCGGGCATACGTACCTGATACTAGATAGCGCTCCCATAACCCCCTCGTTCCTGGTACATACAAGTCCAAGACGTAAGCCATTGGCGCAGAAGTCCTTGCTAGCGCCGTAGAGGATATGGTGGCGAGTCGAGTCGAGAATTCCGCTAAAGTCAAGAGAGAGTGTTGATAGGAAAGGGACAGCGTCGGGAATGGCCGGATTTGGAAATGTTGACTTGGCATAGATCTCATCAGAGATGAAGTGTAGGTCGTTCTTGCCACATGCCCGGGCAAAGACTTTCAAAGTCTCGGGTGGCTATTGCAATTAGTGCCTGAGAGAGTTTGGACTGAGGAGAACAAACGTAGCATCTTCCTAGAGGGTTGTGGGGGCTACGGGTTGGTGAGTATTTTCTCGTCCTCCTGCACTCAGAGGAATTCAGGATAGACAACTGACTTGGAAATTATTAAAGCCTTGACTTTGATACCGTTGATTTTGGCTCTGTCAAGTGCCCTGGTAATGGCTTTCCTGTTGACTTCAGGGTCGAACAAATCGTCAAGGGTCGTGTATCCTTCAACTCCAGTGTAGGAAACACCAATCACCTGAACGTTACTACGGTTCAAGGCGTCGACTATGAATCCGTTATACAATGGCTGTGGAATCAATATAGCATCTCCTTCATCGCAGAAAGCCCAAGCCAGTGCATCAATAGCACTAGCCAGGCCTGGGGTGATGAGAATGTTGTCAATACCAAGAGATCTTCGGGGCTTGAATTCGTCTGTTAGGAAGTTCGCGGCTGCAAGGCGTAGGCGGTGCGATCCTCGTGGTCCAGTGCTGTAAGTCAAGTGATTCACTGGAAGAACGGTGACCTATACGTTTCGATCTCAGAGATGAATCATCCTGGCAAGGTTCAGGTTTTACCTCTTGTTTAATGAATTCCGCGATCTCATTGTGCATCAGACTATTCTCGGCTAGGCGGAGGATGACACTAAGTAGTGTAAGTTTTGACGAAAGGAATGTGATGCATGGCTACTTGCGTCCCATTGGGGTTTTCTGGAGTCCACGGGTTGCCCATGGACTTCTCTCGGGGGCCCCAAACATCGCGTAAAAGCAACCCTTCAGCGCCGCGAGCAGAGATGTGATAATCTACCGCCGTTGTCGCTATTCTGTCAGAGTCTTCGATTGAAATCATGATACGTGGGTTGTTAAACTAGCATTCGTTAGTATGCAATTGCAAGACTGTCTTACTCGTTTGAAACTATCAAGCCAAATTATATCCCAGGGCCTATAAGGGGTCCTGTACCGTGTCACTTACGTTGAGTTGTCTCTAAGATGGAGGGCTGAGACCTAGAATTGACCAAGTCTCAAACGTACTAATCGTTCGATAGAAGTGAAGCCGCTGATACACAAGTGGTTCCGCTTTATATACCTTGTGATCGAATTGGCCGGCGGCTGCCGAGGCGTAACAAGCCACCATAGTCGAGCCGGCGGCCCATTCAGCAAACAGATTGGAGACCGATGAACCAGCAAAAAAAAGACGCCTCCCGCCGGCACATGAGCGATTTCCACGTCATGCTTATCAATTCATCCATGCAAAGTATACATTCAGGCGCCATGAGTCTTCGTGTCATTAGAGGGGTAAGTCCAAGGGAGGATGACAAAGCAAGGAAGAAGAGCAGTTAAAAGATGGAAAACGAGCAAACGCTAAAGGCAATCCAATTTGTATCGTTCACAAGTTTGTCGGCTGAATATTATCGTGAGATCTAGCGTTATATAACTACACTGTCCCTACACGGAAGTCAAGATCCCATTAAACACCCTCAATATTCAATTCGTTCCCTGCCAATCTTGCTGCGAATCTCACAACAGACCAACACGCACCATGCTCACAAGGGAGACGGCCGTTATGCTTGCCAAGTATAACAACTGGGCCGACCAAGTACTTTTCGCAGCGATTCAAAAACAGCTGCCGTCCGGGGCGGTCTATCAGCCGCGCACAACTCTTTTCAAGTCCATGATGGGCACACTCAACCACAATCATCAGGTCGACCTGATCTGGCGTGCACATCTACTCGAAGAGGACCACGGCTTCTCGACCCGCCGTGATCTGTTATACCCGAAATTTGAGGAGTTGGTCGAGAAGCAGTTTGAGGTCAACCAGTGGTACATCGATTGGGCGACCAGGCAAGACGAGGAAAGCTTCAGCAAGCGATCCAAGTTCAATTACGTCAACGGCACACCTGCAGAGATGACTTTGGGAGGCATGTTTCTTCATGTTATCAACCACAAGACCTATCATCGAGGTTGGGTTAGTGAGATGTTCTTCGAGCACAACACGAATCCGCCCGAGACCGATCTCTGTGTTTACTTGTGCCAATAATGGCATGGATCTGGACTCTGGGTTACTATGTCCTGGGCACGTCAGCGGGCCGAGAATGCTTCCACCCAAAATCTGGACAATGCAGGGAATGAACGGCTCGTCAAGCACGGCAATGTCAGTATGAATTTGACGGTAGAATAGAAAGTGAAATTGATGACAATCAACCCAGACCACGTTAGATGAGGTGGAAAGCTGTCGTTGTGCTCAGTCGAATTGGGGCTTTTACAAGATAACTGCACGTGTTAACAGTTAGGAATTCAGGATTAGTCCATTGTATATGTTCGTATTTGGCGATCTATATCAGCAACTGCCGGTCGCACCTAAGTGGACGCCGGACAAGTATGCACCGGAAGACCCGCTCTGATCGGCTGGTATCGAAACTAGGTGGTACCACCCCCCGAATAGAAAAGCTTCCTAGGTAGTCACAACTCACAACACCGTTTCGGCCCCTATAGAATCGCTACAGCTAGTTTTAAACGAGCAAAAATAGCAATCCTGTGTGACAATGGCCGTCTTACCATCCCCACATGTTCTGAATCCCCGAACAAAAGTCATCCGGCACCCTACACTGCGGCGCCCCCGCCCCCGGCGCCGAGAAGCACTTGTGGCCTCCGCTTTCAAGCTGAATACACACGTGGCCCACGGGCGTGGCGTTGGGGAACGTCTGCCGCAGGAAGCAGTCCGGCTGGAGTTTGACCTGCGTGCCTTTATCGCGCGAGAACCACTGCCAGGATTCGCATGTCCCCGAGAACCTGAAGCCGGTGATGGCGTCGCCTGTGGGACCGTTCTCGACACAGTTTTGGGCTTGGGCGAGGCTGGCGACGGCTATGAGGGCGGTGGCTGAGAGGTTTGATTGGAGACGCATCTACGAGGTGGCATGTGAGTGATGGCTTTGAAGTGGCTGAGGGCTAAAGACTTACTATGAGAGAAGAGCAATCTGTGATTTAATAACGATTGTAATTTCTTGCCGTGTATGTTCTGAGAAAAGGTTGATCATGAAGGAGAAGGGTGGCAGGAATTTGGAAGGGATTGAAAAGAGTGACTATTCCGTGGCAATTGGAGCTGGGGAATGGACAATGGCTTGCAGAAGTGAAAACTTCGAGCCTTAATAAATATTCTCCTAAAATATTCCGTTTCGAAATGATTCAGTCTCTTGAAAGCCTCTATACGTGTAAGAATTAACCACAATAATTCGGTAAAGTGCTGATCATTAATAGACACATAGAGTTATAGACTTCCAAGAATTCACTCAACCTGATGGAAATGAGCATTATGGTTGTTCCAACTAGTAGAAATAGAAGTACTTGTTTAGAGTTGTCTTGGCTCAATCAAAAGCGATGATGATCTTTCCTCCGTCGTGAGTCGTAAACAACGAATGACGTGAGAAAGTGTAAAGTACTTTAGCTACACGCTTGGCATGAGCTTAGTCAAACTGCTGGTCTTCCGGCATCCCCTGTCAAACCTCTCGGTTCTCGGAGTCATGGGATGAACACTGACACAAGGCGATATGTGCCTCAATCCGAGTGCTTGGAAACTACAAGCCCGAGCAAAGTCTAAAGTCTGATACATAAATTCTGCTTTTTCATTTGCATTCTCCTGCCCGATGTTGTTCAGCCCCCGCGACTTCAAATTGGTAGAATGGATTGATGGTGTTTATCCGTAAGTTGATCTTCGTATATGATATGCGCCCGTCTGAACTCGCCGGCGGTCTTGGCAAAGCCCGGACGCTCCGAATGTGTCTAACTGCCCAAGAGTCGCCGCTCAAAGACAACTTTCGGCGAGTTGTGATTGTTCAACTCAACCTTTAGCTTCTACATTTGCATTATGAGGCGAGTCAGCTTGAACAGTTGATACTATATTCAAAGCATAGTTGATTGAGGCAATTCGAGACAATGAAGATCACTTCGTGGGAGAAGACAAGATGATTATAAGTATCTGTTTTCGAAATCCTCCTTGCTCGCTCCTCATCCTCAGCTCCTTGCTTGGACCACCTCAAACGCCTTGCTTCAAGTCACTCGTTTAAGGATCAACTCCAGCCATTCTGTACTCACAAAACACCTCGCATCACTCATTATATAAGCGACCCAGTCACGCCGTCTCACTCACCCCTTCGAAGACAAAAAGCAACCAACAATGAAGAGCCAACACATCGCCCTACCAGGCCTCCAAGCCGCAGCTCTCGCCTTCCTCGGCGCCCGCAGCGTCTCAGCAGCAGCAGGAAAAGTCTTTTGCGCCGACGCCAACAACAAGGTCGTCGCCGACACCAAGTGCGCCGTCGGTCAGGCGCCAGCCCCAAACACCTTCTTCATGTTCAACAGCGAAGCGGACCACCCCGTCGGGAGCGCCGTCGACGAGAGCAAGGTGGACTTGTACGATGCCGCCGACATGATTGAGCGCCAGAACGCGCGGTTCCCGCCGGATTACGAGATGGAGACGGAAGGGTTTGGGAAGAGGCAGGAGTGTGGTGGTGGGAGCAGGGGAGGTTGAAAGTTGGGGGGGAAAGAAAAGGGAGATGGGTTTGATGGAAGATACAGCTGTGTTTTCCAACTTTGGAAGGAACCCTGGATATGTTTTGGATTTATCTACTCTCTTGAGCGATAATCAGAGCGGCTGTTGAATGTTAATGGACATGTATCTTGCACAAAGTAAGGCACCGAAGTGGACCCAAGCAACAGACTTATAAACAGCTCTGTGGGCTCTAACTACGCGGCTGAAGAAGCAAGAAGGTATGCTAGACGTCAATAGTTATGGTGCAGTCATCAAAGCAATTTATCGCCCTGAAGAAAGTGAATTTGATGAGCTAGTAAAAGGCGGCTCGTTCATCAAGACTATGCCTCATCATCTTGCACATTAATCAGCCACTACTGGCGCAATACATTGGGAGAGTGGAAACTTGTATGCGAGCTCAGACTGGGTCTTACCCAAGTACTATCAGTTGACTCCTCAAAACGAGTATTCTTCACTTCCTCAGCAAGCAAACGCTAGACTGTCTCCAATGATCATATTAATCCTGTGAATTTTGATGCTACGGTAGTTCTCTAAGTTTACCAAACCATGCACCACTTCTTCTGGTACTTGTTAACCCCCCAATGCAAACGCCGAATTTTGGTGTGCAAAATGCCATACAACGCCCCAGCCATGACTGAATCTCATAACCCGAACCCCAGTCGTTCTCAGACCAAGGCTAATGCCGTTTCTTCAACCGTATCTCTCGTCTCTTTCCTTCCTCTTATTCGTCTGAGCAGATCCGTCTACTGCTCCTCCTGGACGACGACGCCCCACTCGTGCTGCTCGCCACCGTACATGATGTCCTTCATCCACTTCTTGATCTGGAGGGTGTACTCGCCACCGACGCCTTCGCCGCCCATGCCCATGTTGGCATCCTTGCCACGGTGGTGAATCAGGGAGATGGGGCAGATGAAGAACTGAGATGGCATTAGCAAGTCGTCTGGGCGAGAGGAAGCAATGATCAAAACTTACAGCAGTACCGGCGGCAAAGGACTCGACGATGCGGCCCTCCTCGTGAGCCTGAATGACCTCATCGATGGTGTATCTGCGCTCAACAATGTCGACGCTGTCGCCGAGGCGCTCGCGGGCGAGCTGGAGAACGCTGCGTCTCGTGACACCGTCGAGAATCAATCTGTCGTCGAGAGGCGCGGTAATGATCTCCGTCCTGCCGGTCTCCTTGTTCTTCCACACAACAAAGAAGTTGCTGGCACCGGCCTCGGTGCAGTACTGCTCCTGTCCGTACAGCCAGAGAATCTGGCCGAACCCACGGCTGCGGGCCTCGACAGTAGCCAGCAGAGAAGGGCCGTAGTTGGCACCGACCTTGGCGTAGCCGAATCCACCAACCCAGGCGCGAACCATATCCTCGGGACTCGTGTGGAGCTTCATGCCGCCGACGGGAGAGTCCATGACAGGCATATAGGTGCAGATGATGTAGAGCATGGCCTCGGAAGGTGCCTGAACGCCGAGCTGGGGCTGAGTTCCGATCATAGTAGGGCGGAGGTAGAGGAAGGATCCGGGACGCTCGCGAGGCAGCCACTTGGGGCCGTCGACGGCCATGAGGGCGATGATGAGCTTCTCGAGTTCGGCGGGAGGGAAGGAGGGCAGGGCGATGCGGGTGGAGGACATGAGCATGCGCTCGCAGTTGCGGTCGGGGCGGAACAGGCGAAGCTTGCCGTCAAAGCCGCGGAAGACCTTGAGACCCTCGAAGCATTCGGTGGCGTAGTGCAGGACGGAGGCAGTCGGCATGAGGGAGATGGGGCCGTAGGGCTTCAGCTCCGGGGTGGACCAGCCAGTGCCGACCTTCCAGGTGGCAGCGACCATGTGGTCGGTGGCGATGGTCTCGGAGCCAGCGTTGGCGGAGGCAGGATCGGGGACGGCACGCGGGTTCTGGGTACGGTTGTAAATGAGCTTGGAGGCGTCGAGCTCCTGGTAGGCGGGCTTGGTGCCGTTGGAAGCCTTGCCATTGGGAATGGCCTCGAGCTTATGCTCGATGGCGGACGATGTCAGATCGATGTCCTGGTTGCCATGGTGCAGACCGGGAGAGATGGTGCCGGGAGCCATTGTGGTTGTCGAGCTTAGTCTGATGTTTGTGTGAGAGACCGATGTAGTGGATATATGAAGAATCTCGGAGTTGGCGGGGTCGAGGGGTCGATTTGCCGTTATTTGAACCAAGTAACAGGTAGTAGCACTGGCTAGAGAAAAGACACAAGCAATATGTGTCTATGTAAGAGGAAAGACACAGGGAGGAAAAGATTCGGCTTAAGATGGAGAAGGAAGAGAACAAAGCCACGGGGTCAAGTCGTAGGCGTGACGGCAAGAGCTTAAGTAGGACGGGTTTGTCACAGTTTGGCTTGGCTCAAGGTTCTAGTGACAGATGGAGCAGGTGACTCAAGGGCCAATGCAGAGGGGCAGCGGGTCCGGTCTTGGAAAGGGCGTTTTCAGATAACAGGGAACATCATGGAGAATTTGACCTGTGCAGTGCATGGAGCATGGATGTGGATGGGGTGGGAAGGGTAAGGGGAGGACGATACCTCGCAGAGTACCTTAAGGTGTGTGATGTAAGGCAAGGTGGTACGAATGCCTACATACACACGGAAAGAAAAGAGGAACAAGCAAACCCGTCCGTCTGAAGTGGTTGCTGGGTACGGATACTCCGTGTCGTTGGTTCCATGGGTGGTTGCCAAAGGGCACGAAGTAAACCAGATGCGTGCAAGAAAAGAGACCAGCAGACGCCAACGGTTCAGAAATTGATCCATGCCCTAGTCAAGTCATGGATCGATCATGGATGGATGGTGGACCACGGGAAGATGGTGGACTGGAACTTTCAAGCCAAGGCGGCCGATATGCTGCATGGCTTTTTGTCGTTGGTATGCCGTCGCTTGCCCGGGGGATCCACATGCGGAAAGGTCGCCAGATGGAGGCAGCGCCGTAAGCCCCTTGAGATTTCCCTTCCGCCATTGTCTTATTAGTCTGTAGGTACCACACGGAGTAGAGGACAGTAATTCTGGACTCTGGAGAGCGTTGTGCCGATGTTCAACGTCGAGGGATGGCAATGCCGAGCCCGCGTACTTTTTTTTTCTTTCGATGGAGTGGAGCCGGGCCGGGACCCACCAGCGCGTGAGCAATTGTGAAGCGTCGGTGGCAGCGGTTTGAACTTTGGGGGATACGGGATGGGATGGGACTGTTTCTCTCACATCTCATCTCATCTCTCGCCCTTCCCAACTTTCGCCAGTGCGTCGGGCGATGATCGAATCGAAGCCCGTCCTTTGATCGAGGAAGGATTGTCTTGCTGCTCGAGTCCCCACACAGACATGCCGTTCTTCAGAGATAAGCCAGTTACCAGACTACCAATCCGAGTCTGAGGATGGCCAAGAAGAAGGGAAAAAAGACCTGAAAGAAAATCCTGATCCCACAGTTATCCGCTAGAGCCGGAGCCATCCCACCTCGAGATGGCTACAGATAATACTGCCGTGACTGCGCAGCGTCTAAAGACCAGCAAAAGATGCGACTTGTTGCAAGGGACATGATCGAAAAAAAAATCTGTGACGAAACAAGAGGTCAAGCCGCGGTCGCCCATTCGTCGGGGCATGGTTTGTTAGTCAATGGCGCGTCAGGTACATGCTGTCGTACACCGCAACGCAATACAGCAAGCAGCAGCGGCAGTAGCAGCGCCGGTCCAAAGTGTAGCAGGGAACTGCCTGACGGGAGGGAATGCTGTACGAGAAGGCGATGCACCTCCAGTTTGTCCCACCACAAGCCGTCGGCCGGGCACGGCTCCAGTCGGTCGACGTCCTGGTGCCCCATTGCGGCTTTGGTGCGCGCGGTCCGAAGCCGAACGGTGCTGCACTCCAATTGTAGTAGTGTATGTACCGTGGTGTGCATGGCTTCAGCATCGGACTTGGAGTTCGGCTAGTGTAGATGTTGTTTTGATGTCTCATTCGACCTCGCTCGAACGCAACAGACGATGACTCCGAACACATTGGCTACCCGATCAGCATCATTCCGGGTGCAGCGAGTATGTTGTCATATTCAGGGGATGAACATGGGCGAGGTCCGACATCGCAATGATCAAGCGCGCCCTACTTGTCCAGTCCGCCCTTTTTGCCCTTTGGGTTGACAACTATTGACATGGCCCGACAGGGTTTTGATGCGGCCGATCGAGTCAATTGAGGTCATCCCCGGTGATGATGGCGTTGTCTTTTCGGGAGGATGAGTCGTACGTGCACATTTGGCCTCGGGACCTCGCGATTCGCGAATATGACGGAAAGGAGAGTGCGGAATTCACATCGTCAAGTTCGTCGCCAAGATGTCAAGGTTCCAATTATTATTGTTGTTGAGAGGCGTGCAGCTGAAAGATACATGCATTGAGGTACCTCACTTACTTGCCGTGGAGGAAGGCGAGGTCAACCAAAGAGCGGAATTGGAAGCAAGTGTAATCGCTATCTGGTCCTTCCTTGTCAGTTGTCCCTTCCATTCTCGGTTTCCCATGTTACCCCTCCCGCGGATAGCCGAGTGTAGGCGATGACGTGGGGAAACAAGTCCGAGTAACCGCAATGGAAGGCACGCCGCACAGTTGACCACTGCTTTCCTTCTCTTTCAGTCCCAATGGTCAGGTAGGTAGCAACCCCCCGTGCTCCCCGCCTCGTGCTTTCCCCCTCCATCGTTTAAATCTCTTCAACAGATCCCAACCCGAATTTCCTTCTCGAACATTGGATCGTATCGGTTGGGTTGGCGGAGGCGAGATCCCTCAAGGTGCCGAGTGTAACCATTGAGGCAGGTGTACCTAGCGTCTCCTGGCACTGTACATCTTCTCTCACACGATGCACCACCAATGCGAACCTCCTGCATGCATACTTCTGGGTTGGTTGCCGGAGGCCCGGATCTTCTTCCACGGTTTCCTTCACACACACACACACACACACACACACACACTCCATCTTCTCCCCGGTCAGCACGGAGAGACAATGGGGATTATCTTACCTACATATGACGAGATGGATGCCCAGATCTGGCAGCTGCTTATCCCCAACCGATTTCTAATCCAATACAAAACATCAAAGTACCTCGCCTTACCTTTGCGAACCTCAACTTGCCCGGTCTGCTCTCGAACAAGTGCGGAAGCAACAGCACAAACAGCCCAAACGTCTCAGCCCTGCAACACAACCTGGACGGACCTTCTGGGGTTGAACCAACAAGACGGGCGCAGACGCCCGGTTCACTGACCTCTGGTCACTTGACCTGGAAATCGCGGGGTACCTTGCCTACGCTCTTCTGCGGTACGTGGCTTGGCACCGGCCATGTCTCGTTTCTTCCCCTTAGATCGCGGCGCCAATCTTTTGGTTCGCACTTGTCTGCGCAGTGTGTGTCTGACTACCTACCTACCTATCACGCTATATCGTTCACAGAGAGGCGGTCTGGAAAGTATGTAAAAGACGCCGCTCATCCTTCTGAGACACACTTTCACGCACACCCAGACTCGCCCACATATGCCCAACCGAGACATCCCAAGCAATGACACGCGGAAACTAGCAGACGCGTCGTGGTAAGTATACTAAAGTAACATTTCGCTGTCTGTGGTTTCCAGTACTCTCTCCAGGTATCATTCGGCAGTTCCCTTTCTTCAGCTCGTGACCTGTTGAAGGCCATTCCATTCTGCCCTTCAACCTAATGAATGCTACTACTCGAGGTACCCAAATGTAAACATGCTACCGCCTCATAATGATGCTCCTCTTATAGACCCATGATACACACACACACACACAATCTCACTGCCGCGCCCTACCCGCCTCCCGCGCCGCCTGCTCCTCCCCGAGAATCTCCCTGCCGCGCGCCGCAGACTCCCCCTCGGCCTTGATGCCCTTCTTGCGCTGCCGCTCCTCGTACATGTCGCGGCTCCTCATGATGCGCTGCACAATCGTCCCCGCGTTGACGCTCGCAAATTCGTGCTCGCCCACCGCCCGCATGATGCCCATCTCCTTGGGCGCCGTGTACGGGTCGTACGTCAGCGGCATAAAGGCCGTCGGGCCGTGGTACACGGCGTCCGGCGTGCCCCACGGCAGAGACGTGAGGTAGGCCTTTGTCGGGGAGAATGGAGCGCCGAAGACGACGGCGTTGACGTACTGCAATACTAGTCGTTAGCACATCGCTACTTGAACAGTCATGCTCGAAGCCGTCCATCATGGCTGTTGAAGGACCTACCCTGCACTGCAACACGCAGAGACCGCGCTCGTAAATGTTCATGATGGGATAGTTGATGCCCTTCCAGTGGTTAATCTCCTCGTCGGAATGAATACCCGCCACGACGTACGCAGGCGGATAATCGCCGCCCTTGCTGACGCGCTCGTTGACGGCCTGCTCCGAATACCACCCTTCCCCGCGTGCCAGCTCCTCCTCGGCCTCGACAACCCGGCGGAGGAACTCAATGTGCCCGCTGGAAAACAAATCGAAACCGCCGTCGACGTAGACGACGCGTTGACCGATCTGCGGCCCCTTTCCCGGCAAGAACCGCGAGAACACACCCCTCTCCTCGACCGTGGCCTCGGCCTTTGCTTCCCCCGACGCAGCCCAGAACCACACCTCGACGCCGGGATTCTTCCCCGTCTCGTCGGTAGCGTACAGCTTCATCCGCTCCGTCAGGGCCTCGGCCTCGGCCTTGATCTCGTCCCGGGAGGCGGCACCCTGGCCCTGACCCTCGTCGCCGGACAAGAGATTCTCCAGGGATTTGATAAAATGCGTCTTTGTGCAGAGGAGCATGCGGCCGACGAGGTCGGTGGTGGAGATGCTGGGCGTGCGCTTGACGACCTTGAAGCGGCCAGCCTCCTTGACGAAGCGGTAGCAGTCGTAGCCGTCAGCGTCCGAGGTGATGTCGTCGCCGTGGACGACGTACTTGCAGCCGTAGTGGCTGATCCAGTCGAGCTGCGTCACGTAGGGGGCCTGGCCGATGGATTTTGTGACCCAGCGGCAAGCGTCGACAGCAGCCAGACTTTTGCGAATGTTAGTAAAGTGCTGCGAAGCAGAGTAGAGAGATGTACCGCTCTTGGAGGGTCATGACTGTTGGGCCCTTGTTCTCGAGAATGGACTCATCAGAGTGGACGCCGATGTAGAGCTCGCTGCCTAGTTGGCGGGCTTGCACGATGGCTCCAGCATGGCCTGTGATGATCAGTCTTTGAAGCTGTGAGGTATGCGTGACAGTAGACTCACCGTGGTGGAAAAAGTCGAAGCAGCCATCGATCCAGATGCGCTCCTCCAGAATCTCAGGGGCTGGCTCGCCGGGTGGGTATCCAGGGTCAGAGTTGACCATGATGGCTTGATGATGTGGGAGTTGAAGGGGACCCAATGTATCGCTGATTCTTCAGGATCTCAGGGATCTTAAGACTGCTAGGTAATGAATGCACAGAAAAGTCTTGTGATAATGAGCTGCTGGTGTTGCGTCAACAAAGTTTCACCGACTGGGCGAATTTCACATGAGGTTTGATTGAGCCTTGAAGGACGGCATGTCAATGGCTCAGGTCGCGATGTCCCGCTCCCGTAGCGGCGCCGTGTGATTGGCGAGGTTCCAGCGCCACTGCGATAGCCGAGACCCACCAGAGCTTTCCAGCGGCCGGACCGGCCACGCAACGGCGCTCACGGGGCCTTTTTTCTGGTGAATCAGGTCCCAGGTCCACTGTAAGCTCCCCGCCAGCCCTCGAGGTTCACATGTTTGGCTGTCGTGTTGCCCGCTGTCATTCATCCCGTCCCAACGGTTCTTCCCCTGTTCCCATCTACGTACCTACCTTACTGCACGTAGTACCTTACGTAGCACCAACAAAAACATCAGATGGACGGATTGGCACGTGTTTCTGACAAACGTTTGGACAAACGCTTCTGCCGCAGCACCTGATAACTTAACTTATTGTTGTGAAGCCTCCCTTTATTCAATGGACTCCTGCCCATCTCTACCCAGAGCCATCTTCTAGGCGCCTTGATCATGCAACAATGCGCAAAAAATGCGCCCTAGAAGCTATGGTTAGGGAGGGCAGGATGTCCACCCAGACCTGACAATTCTCACTGATGACTCTGGCTGGTCGAGCCATCTACCAATACTGGCAAGATGCCATAGATGAGCCTCAATTAACTATTTGTTGTCTCCATCAAAGTTAACGAAATTAGCCAGGAACAACAACAAAAACGTGGTTGGGTCTCATCCGCTGCCAGGAACCTAGGCCATTACAGGCGCCCACGTGCAATAAGTGATGCATCCATTGGTCACCGCCAGGGATTACCATCTTTCACCACCCGCAACTTTCCAGTCCCCCGGATGCCAGTTTTCTTCGGACGACATCTCGAATCTGAGTCTGGCGAGTCACCGGTACTCCATCTAGGCAATCTGCCCCGGCATGGCGCATCAATGGTCCATGAAGAAATGACTGGGGTCTTGGAGCGGGGATCGTCCGTCTTCTCCATCTCGGTGCTATTTATCCAGAGCTCTCTCCCTCCCCGCATGCGACGCTGCGATGTAGCTCTCTCCAGCTCCAGCCCTCTTGCTCATCCTCTCGACAAGCACCTCCGCCAAGATGAAGGGCCTCGTGCTGTCTTCCGTCCTCGCTCTCGCACCTCTCGCCCTCGCCGCCTGGCCAGAGGCCGAGGGAAAGGACATCAAGTACACGTCTGTTCCTGGGTACTTTTTGCAGGACGACAACAGCACTGATCCGACCGGCTTCGACTATGTACGTTTTGCCCGCCTTGGGAAACATGTCGATGCGAACCTGTTACTAACGAACCTGCCATAGGCCGCGGTCAACTTTGGTCTCGTCAACCGGACGTACCCAACGGACAAGCACTTCGACCCCGAGGGCGTCAAGACCCAATGGCAGCGTTTCGACCACTGGGTCCAGTACCTGAACTCTGGCTGCCGCAAGAGCGACAGCGTTCAGTACAAGCTGCTCTTCATGGGCCGCCATGGTGAGGGCTGGCACAACGCCGCCGAGTCATTCTACGGCACTCCCGCCTGGAACGTGAGAACATGCCGCCCAGCACCACCGAAAACCAAGGGGCTACCGCAGCTAACGTGACCACAGTGCTACTGGGCCGAACAAGACGGCAACGCCACCGCACGCTGGGCCGATCCCCTCCTGACCCCGGCCGGCGCAAACGAAGCCCTCAAGGCAAACGCCTACTTCAAGGACCGCTACGCGACCCAGAAGATGCCCTACTTCGAGTCCTACTACACCAGCCCCCTGATCCGCTGCGGCTACACCGCCAACATCACCTTTGGCGACATCCCCATCCCCGCGGACGAGCACCCCTTCGTCCCCGTCGTCAAGGAAGGCTTCCGCGAGGGCATGACGGTACACACCTGCAACTGGCGCTCCAACAAGACCTACATCGCCTCGACCTTCCCGTCTTTCGAATTCGAGCCGGGGTTCGCGGAATACGACCCCCTCTGGCGCCGCAACGAGAGCGAGACGAGCGACGCCCAGGACGCGCGGTCGAAGGCCGTGCTGGACGACGTCTTCCGCACCGACGACAAGACGTGGTTGAGCATCACCAGCCACTCGGGCGAGATCACCAAGCTCCTGAAGGCGCTGAATCACCGCGCTTTCCGGCTGTCGACGGGCCAGATTATTCCCGTGTTTGTGAAAGCCGAGGTCGTGGCGCCGGTGCCGGTGCCGACATTTGCGGCGCATGAGCCGTATTCCACGTGTACGAGCCCGCCTGTGACGAGTATTGCTGGACAGGGGTGTGTTTGCGCGACGACGGCTTCGTCGGGGCTGCTCCCGGCGGCTACGCTTATGGCGGCGTGAGGATTCCACGGGAAGGTTTCTTCGCGTGGTAGCTAGTGAAACATAGATCCCGGTAGTCGTAATGTAATGGCGATTGTGAATAACAGAGACCGGGACGAGTTCGTTCGATTGCGCCTCGAAGGAGCCGCCACCAGGTTTCCCATCTGAAGCGGGCTTGTGATAGCGTAGAACCATGTTCGAAGCAGCCACCAGCTTTTGGCTCATCCAAAGCGGATGAACTCCCCGTTGAAGTTTGCGGGAGCGCATGGTGTGGGAGAGCGGCTGATCGACGTTGAACTCATCTTTTCCTTTCCGTCTCATCTAACCCGGCTGCGGGTACAAATCTGTATCAGTGTGTGATGAGTGCTCCCTAGCGTGGCCCTCTCGGATTGTGACATTCATCTTTCTTTCTTGAACGAAGAAGATGACGTTTTCTTCTGACTACCTAGCTAAGGTAGCCATTCGGATAACAAGCCCAATCGCGTGGGTGAAATGGTGCGGGTGGTGGGATTCAAGGGTGGTATGGTCCTTGGCCGGGAGTCCGTTCACCACGTGGGACTCGAGCTTCTGGAATGTTTCAGGGTCTACGCGGGGAGACCAAGCTGCCTAGGTCTGGGACTGAGACTGATAGGAAGGCCCGGAGGCTTCCGGGAGGAGAAGGAGGAGGAGGAGAAGGATCAAGGGAGGGCATGTGCTGCGTTGTGTGTGTGCCGTGCTCTTGTTGTCGAGTCTGCGCTTTGGGCGCTGCGCGGTGGTCGACTCTGATATTTAGAAGCAACGGCTCGGTGTCTGTGGGCGCTCGGGAGCAGATGATCTGCTTGACCCCGGGGAGGATTGGCCAATCGTCAACATTGCCTTGCTTGATATTCATTGTAAAGTAATTGGTATGTATTGCGGATGATGGATGTTGTTGTTCTCGATGCCCATTGGTGTTGCAGATAATGGAGAGGTGGGCAAGGGGGGTTGAAGAGAGAGGGGGAGAAGTTTCACGATGGAATCAGACTTATTTAGTACCTCGGTGAAGGAGCGCCGGGAAATGGAGCAGAACCACCTGGATAGGAAAGCTTCCATGCTTTCGTGGTTAGCACGGCTGAGGAATATTTCGGTAAGCTGGCCCCTAGAACATTTCCCGTGCAGCCATGCCCTTTTCCCGAAGCCATTTCGTTGTCGAGTATCTCTGTCGCAAAGATGAATGTGGCTTGCAGATACTTTTGCTCCGGTGTGCAACTCGGACGTGATGTGATGATGAGGTATCAAGTTTAGCTGCGAGTTGTGGTTTGACCGATTTCTATTGAAGTCGCATTCTCCACACGTTGATGTTCCATTTATGAAGCTGGGATTCGAGGTCTTACGCAACAGAAGCTTCTTTATATTTGCATCTTCCAATGCGTTCCGTTCTTCGATGATTGCGTACTGGGGTCGTCTCACTCGGGCGATTTGGGGAACACCGTGCAGGCAAACATGAGATAACCCGGCAGAAGATCACCTGTGTACCTGTCTATGTACTATGTAAAGACCACGAACGGTGATCAGCATACAGCAACAATCACAGGGATAAACGCAGCTTGGACACGGAGCTGATGTGTTGAGAAATTATCAGTAGATAACTGATCAGTTCCTGGAGGGTGGTAGGACCTTCCATCCTCCAGATTTCTGTAGTAGCACCAGCTATTTGTGTCGTCTTATCATGTTTGGGATTATTTTCTGCCCGACTTAATTCCAGACACAACTCTCTTTTTTTTATTCACTCTTGTCATTATTTTTGTTGGAATTCGGGTACTCTTTTTTAGCCTTTTTCAAAACCTCCGAACCCCGCCAAAACAGGTCTCAGAAAGCACCCGACCGCCAAGTTCCCCAGTCCCAAGCACCAACAACAATACCTACCTTACTGTACCTACCTTAGCTACTTCAGGTGTTTAGGTGGTGCCCCGAGATCGTCGGCTACACAAAGAAAGGAACCACAGCTGCGAACGGACGGTGCAGACATTTCCCGCGGATAATCGCTATTACAAGTTCGCATACGTCAGGTGGATTGTTTGTTTCTGGCTGTACCTTACGAATAGCTCTGTGCTACATGAACCATCCCCTCACCTAACCCACACCGGCAAGGAGACTGCGGATAGTCCCTACATGTTCTCTGGGAGGGGTTGTAAAGAATAGAACAAAACACGCACGACATCCATTTCTCTGGACATCTTTTTCCCTTGCTCACTACCCCGTACTACGTCCTCACAGCTTTTGGGACTTTGCCTGGACAATCCAACACCCCCGTCCGTCTCCGAACATCATCCTGGACGTAGTTGACATCCACTTTCCCACTCCGAAGCAGCAACAAAACAAAAACAAATACAACAAACCCATAATAAAATCAATACGTCCCGGATAAACCTGACGCTCCTCTCTTTCTGCCCATCCCACCTATCTGTATCACCCACCGTCGCGAACCCCCGTCCTACATCAAGCACGCCGAAGGCTGAAGCAACAGCAGAACGAAACCCGCCCGCGACGCAACGTCTTTTACACTTTTGAACCAAAGCAACTCCAAGCTCCGCGTTTCTCCAGTCTTGATTAAACTCCAACCTGCAGGCTGACGACTAGCCCCAATCTGTCCGAATCGCATTCTGCGTCAAGTGCCGCAACCCAGGGGCCTTGAGCTAATCTTAACCTGCGGTTCCTACAGGCTGCGTGTGCCATTCGTCTAGGTATTCTACCTAGTACCTATCGGAAGGGGGAGTGAGATCAACCTTCAGTCCAGTGAACCGGTCCTATTTCCGCCTTGCAGCAGCGCCATCAGCAGCACCAGCACCAGCACCAGCACACCACATCTGCTTAGCAGCAAACCCGTGGACCGTGGCAAAGGGGGGAAAAGTGGCCTCGTGGCCTGCGATCGACCAACCGGAGACTTGAGACTGGGCAGACGAAAGCCGTAAGCTGCTGCAAAAGCAAGTCAGAGTGTCAAGCAAGGGGGGGCAATTGAGCAAGTTCGCGCATCGGGTCCAACCAGGATTCAAGCGAGCAGCACGACGCAACCACCAACCGCCAACCACGCAAACCAAGCACATACGCACCCAAGTACGCACACAAACCAACTCAACTTTGTGTTCGTACCTTACCTTAGGCAAGGGGGGTAGCAGCAACTCCATTGTATCCATCCATCCTTGGCTTGCAGACTTCATTCAGCAAAGTACCGTACCTTACCTTACTTGCGCAAGGCACCCGCGAGGGAGAGAGAGAGAGAGAGAGCAAGACACAGCAAACAATTCACTCAGCTGCACCACTCGACGCACCACCACAGATACGCACACACTCCATATCCCTCACCGGCATCTAGAGCACTCTATTCATAATTCACCCACGCAAATCGCAACCGCAACGCAACGCAGCAGTCGCAGCCGCACGCCTCGGGATCCAATACCACCTCGAACCTGGCCTGACCACGCGCGAAACCACCCTCGCCGATCGATTCGGCCCCTCGTCCGCCCTCCTTCGCCGGAATCCTGAACCCGGTCCCTGACACCCCTTCCCCTTCCACGCCCTCCTACTGCGTATCCGTACTGCGTACCCAACTACGGGAAACTCTTCCACCTCCCTGGCGCGAACCACACCGTCATCCCCCGTCATCCCGCCCGCTCTCCGTTCCCGTCCCCGTCCAGCCCATCCTCTCACACCTCTCTCCCACTACCACTCCTAGGCGGCCCAGGCTCAGCCTCCAGGCCACCCCCTCCAACTCAAAGACATGCAGCGATCCGGACCACCTCCCACGACCGCCAATGCGCCATTCTTCTCCTCCTCCTTCTTCTCCTCTTCTTCCTCAAAATCCCGTCCCGGCACCTCCTCTGGCGAACCACCGGAAAAGTCCCAGTCCCAACCACCGCCGCAACCGTCCCCCTTCTTCCCGCCGCCCCTCCAACCGCAGTCCTCCGGCCCCAACGTCCTCCTCAAGGACCGCAAGAACTCCTTTGGCCGCAAGACCTCCTTCAGCTCGCCCAACAAGTCTTCCTCCCTATCCTCCTCCTCCTCCAAGCGCCGCGCCAACAGCTCCAGCTCCGGCGGAGGAGGCAATGTCGTAGTCACCGACCGCAACGTCCCGCCCGCACTCCCCGACTTCGCCCTCGCCGCCGCCGCAAAGATCACCCGCGACGCAGACAACATCCAGAGCCCCGCCTCCGCCGACAGCTTCTCCAGGATGCTGAGCCGTACCCAGACCGGCTCGACGAGCCTGGCCCCCAGCGACCGCCTACAACCCCCGCCCACGTCCGCCACACATCCCAACATGTGGCAGTCGAGCGAGTCTGTCGTGTTGCACATGCAGATGCAGGAGATTGCGAACAAGAGGATATCAACATTGGACTATCTACGGAAAGCGTATGCTACCCTTCTCTCTCTCTCATCCTCTCTCTGCTTGGAATACTCGCGTGCTAACCATGATTCAAACAGACACGAAGGCCGAGTATACTGGTTCAACACAATCCTCTTCGACAAGCCCGACCTCGCCCGCATGCCCTCCTTTGAATCGCGCAAACTCGCCCGCCGCGCAACAAACTACCTCCTCCTCGGCCTCTCCCTCCCCACAATCGTCGACCTCTACGCAAACACCCCCATCGAGTTCCTCCGCAGCCTCAACAACCTCCTCCAAGAATTCGAATCCTTCCAGCAACTCCACAGCGAAGGCGGCACCTCCACCTCCTCCCTCTCCCGCGCCCGCCTCCCCTCCATGTTCCGCCGCCAGGGCGGCAAATCACGGCGCAGCACCAGCGGCGCAAACGACATCGGATACCCCCTCGACTCGGACTCGGCGAGCGGCGGAAGCTACGGCGGAATCGGGGGCTCGTCGAGCGCGAGCGCGAGCGTCATGTCCTTTGCGTCGAGCGATAACGATCTGTTGCCGGGGGAGGTGTACACGCACCTGCTCACGCCGTCGCTACCGTTCGAGCCGGACTTCTACGAGACGTTTGCGACGCTGTGCGAGGTGCTGATTGACGTCTACACGAAGGTGCTGAGCCTGGTGCCCACGCCGCGGGAGACGACGGCGCCCGTGGCGGAGCTGTTCGCAAAAGCGGATGCCAAAGTGCGCAAGATCATCGTGCAGGGCGTCGTCAAGGAGTTTGAGGACAGCAGCAGGTCGCACATCAAGACGGAGGTGGCCAACATCGGCAAGGTTGTGCTTGGTGGGCTTATGTGATGGAGAATGCCGTACGGGATATATGGGACCCATGTCTGGAATGATTTGCATTGTTTTTTGTTCACGGAGTTCTTCCTTCTTTTGGCGCACCCCTTTTACGAATGGATGGTTCATGTTTGAAACGTGGAAGAGATTTTTGGCGCAGGGCATGTTATGGCGAGGCTTTTCAGATATACCATGTTCATGTTTGTTTCTATTCTTCTTTATATATATATGTATACCTCTATGACATGAGCCACAGGGAGAGCCAACATATCTCGGACTTTTCAGTCCTTTGATAATTGAATGATACTTAAGAGAAAGAAAAAAAAAATGTTCCAAGTGTTCATCAGATACCATAACGCATGTTTTGTCGCTCACATTGGCGGACCCTAAGGCCTCTCACCGTCAGTGCTTGACTCTATAGGTAATCATCATCGAACTTGAACTGTGTCCCAACATCCCCCGTTGAATCCAGGGCATCATAGACGGGTGAGACTTCCCACGAAGTCCAGAGTGTAGGTGTCTAGCCCCTTTGCGGACCAACAAAAGATTGAAGACGAAACCCTCAAGAAACAAAACCCAAAAGGTTTGGATTGAACCCCCCTCGCACCAAGAATAAGCCCCATCGAGTAACACGCCCCAACCTCAGTACAGAGGTCGTGGACGGGCAATCGCATACCTATCGATCTCGACGAAAGACCCTCCGACGAACCCTTGAATTCGCCCGGCAAGCGAGACCCTACCAACGGCCACCCCGTCATCGAAAGCTCCTCTAACCCATGATCCCCGACTCGCAACTCCCCAGGCGCGGACTCATATCTTCATCCAAAGGGTCCCGGAAAGCGGAAGCAGGGTCTCGAAAGAGCAGAGAAGACCAACGATGTAGCGACGGGGCAGGGTTGTGAAAGAGCTCATTGTGTCCGGACGCAGGTCTTGGAGGTCAGCCGCTGTGCTTCTATGGCGGCGCGTTTCCGCGGCGTTTTGGCTTCCCCTGTAACAGGAAAGTAACGTGTGTCCGGGGACTTTCTCCCAAAGCTTTCGCATTTGAGACTCCCGTGAAGGAAATCTCCGTTTGTGAGCTTCGATGGCGATTTGTCGGACGAGAGGGGTTGAAGAGAAGAAGAAGAAGGGAAAAGAGTAGACGCGAAGCTTGCAGTCTTTTTTATAAAGAAAAAAAAAGTTTCGGAGCTGTAAGGTGGGGCTCGTTTTGTGGCTGTTGTGCTGTGGGGACCTCTCTCTCTCTGCCTGCCTTTGAACGGAGGTGTGGCTCAAGCGCAGGGACGTCAGGCACCCAGCCTTGTGGCTTTTTCAGCCAATGGAAGGTGGCCATCACTTTTCGCATCGCGACTGCCTTCGTGCCTGGTCTGTGGAATTTGGACGGGAAGCTTCACTTGGAGACGATTCCCAACAGCTAGTTGAAGCTTCCAGCCGCCTGCCTCTATTGCCAACAATCCTCTTCAGCAGACACACTGATCGACAGGACAACGCGTATTTCGAAATTTCCTGACACCATTCTTACCGCCCACGCAGAAACACCACAGCTACGTAGCTCGATCGACAACACACCGACAACATGTCCGGCCTCTTTGGCGCCGCATCGGCGGCCTCGTCGAGCAACACGGTCGGCGATCTCAAGCAGGACGTCGCTCTCAACAACCCACCCGAAGACAGCATTTCCGATCTCGCCTTCTCTCCCGCCCAGAACCAGACCAGCGACTTCCTGGCAGTCTCCAGTTGGGACAAGAAAGTCAGGATATACGAGATTGCCCCCAACGGGCAGAGCGAAGGGCGGCACGCCTACGAACACGATGGCCCAGTCTTGGGCTGCGACTGGTCCAAGGTACGATATCTCCGTTTCTTACGTCCATACGTAACGAGTCTCTGGCTAACTTTCTTCCAACAAGGACGGCACAAAAGTTCTCTCTGGCGGCGCCGACAAGGCCGTCAAGCTCTGCGACCTGGGCTCCCAGCAGACAATCAAGATTGGCGAGCACGACCAGCCCGTCAAGTCGGTCCGCTTCTTCGAGTCGTCCGGTACTCCGATGGCCGTGTCGGGCTCCTGGGACAAGACGGTCAAGTACTGGGACATGCGCTCGCCCACACCCGCGGCGTCGCTGGCCTGCCAGGAACGCGTATACACGATCGACGTGCGAAACGATCTCCTCGTCATAGGAACCGCCGACCGGTACATCAACGTGGTGGACCTCAAGAACCCGACAAAGTTTTACAAGACCCTGCAGAGTCCTCTCAAGTGGCAGACGAGGGTCGTCAGCTGTTTCGCGGACGCTGCTGGCTTTGCCATTGGTAGTATCGAGGGACGGTGCGCGATTCAGTATGTCGAGGACAAGGATGCTACGTAAGTTTTGATTGCTGTGAATACGCGAACGAATTGCGGCAGGCGGCTGACACTGCACAAACAGATCCAACTTCTCCTTCAAGTGCCACCGAGACCCTCCCGCCAACAACGTCACCAACGTCTACGCTGTCAATGACATCTCCTTCCACCCCGTTCACGGCACCTTCAGCACGGCCGGCTCTGACGGCACCTTCCACTTCTGGGACAAGGATGCCAAGCACCGTCTCAAGGGCTACCCCCAGGTCGGCGGCAGCATCACGGCCACTACCTTCAACAAGACCGGATCCATCTTCGCGTACGGTATCAGTTATGACTGGGCTAAGGGCTTCCAGCACAACACGCAGGCGTACCCCACCAAGGTCATGTTGCACCCGGTTCAGGCGGATGAGTGCAAGCCTCGCCCGACCATGAAGAAGCGATAAATGTAGAAAGGTGTCTAGTGGTTGGACGAGTTAGATTCATGCCTGGGTGAGTCGGTGGACGGTGTGCGTCAGGCAATTGAGCACAGGACGTAGGGGGCAGACGACAAGTAGATGTTATTGCGCCAGGATGGACACCTGTGTAATGTACGAGGAGGGTCGATGAATTCGGGGTTTTCAGTCACTGAGGTGCAAGCAAATGTTAAGGATCGCGAAACATATCCGCGAAAAGGAGTGTACGGTACCGGACGATACCAAATTGGCAATCAAAAGTTTTTCAGAATCAATTGTCACCGTGCCTTTGCATGTAGTTAATTGGTGAGGCTTGAAGTTTGGGCTGGATCCGCTCAAGCAAGATCCAAATGTGAGCCATTGAATTTTTGAAATGCTACTCGTACCCGATTGTGAATGTCAAGTTGGTGTTCCTACCAACTGAATCGCAATTAAAACCATGTAAACCAACGATGACTGAAAAAAAAAGAATTGTCTCGACTGCTATCCAAGCAAGTCCACATACTAACATGACGTTGAAGTAACATCATCCGCTTTGCTGTTTAGTCTCACATCATAACAATCATCCCAACCCTTCCGTCGGAGCACACAGCATTTCTAATTTTCTTGTCTTAGAAAGCAGGCTTCTGCGACGACCCAACAACGTTATCGACAAGTCCCTTCCACAAATCTCTCAGACCGGGCTGGTGCGCCTCCGTCTCGGCGGCGGCCTCGCTGTCGTGAGCCCACTTCAGCTCCACGCCGTCCACGCCGAAGCCCTCGACCTCCGTCAACGCGGCGGCGGTGGTGACGTTTTCCGGGTGCGCGGCGACGATTGAGATCTCGGGCTTGGAGAGCGGGAGGGCGTCCGCGGCGGAGGCGGGGGTCTGCTCGTAGAGGGATTGGTGTTTTGTGGTGAAGGAGTCTGGGAGGAGGGGCATGCGCATGCCCGCGAACTCGTTTCTGGGGACGGGGTCGTAGGAGATGGGGAGGATGGTGAAGTCCATTCCGCCGGCGTTGGGAGAGGATGATGCGCCGGAGGAGAAGGTTTGCATTTGGCGGACGGAGGGGGAGGTCCGGGTTGGCTGGGGGGTTGGGCGGTGGGTTGTGCTCAGGGTGCGGGCGGACTGCGGTGTTGTGTTAGTTGGGGTTTCTTGTTTCAATAGTAGAGCTTTCTGGTGAGAGACTGCGGGGAGTGAGGGGAAGGGAAGGGGGGAGAGAGTGTGACATACATCGTGCTCGCGGGTGCTCCGGTTCTGGAGGAGCTCTGCGTATTTCGGCATGAGGACGGCGCCGTGGTTGACGTTGTAGTGAGACTCGAGGAGGCCGCTGGATCGGCTGGCCGTGGCGGCGGAGTTGATGGAGCGGGTGAGCTTTGCGACGGGGGCGGTGATGCGCGACATGTTGGCGGTTTTGGGGGGTTGGGGGGGGGGGGGGGGGGGGGGGGGGGGTGGGGGGGGGGGGGGGGGTGGGGGTGGGGGGGGGGGGGGGGGGGGGGGGGGGGGGGGGGGGGGGGGGGGTTGAAGAGATTCCGATGTGTTGGTTGATGTTTTTGGGGTTCAAGTGCCGACCAGGCTCGTAGTTCTGATAGCTTGTTGGAAGAGGTTGGTGACGATGTCTTGAGACTCAGATGTGAGGTGAGAGTGAGAGGTTGCTTCAGGCTTGCTGAGTGCGAGTGGCAGAGTAGATGCGTGTGTACGGACGGACGGCAGATGTAGTAGAGTTGATGAATGGTTGGATGGATGGGAATCAAGAGAAGATGGAGGGGGAGTTGCACGGCAGATATACAAACGCACGGAAGGAGGGAAGGGCGGGAGAGAGATCAGAGATCAGAGACAACGAGACAGAGCTTCACTCACACACACACACATACGCGCACTATCTTGCCACACGAGCATTCACACACACACGTACACCTCCATGCACACAGGGCGTAGATACACACCCTCTCTTGTCTGACGACCCCCGGAACTGGAACTGGAACACTGGGAACTGGAACGGGGACTTGGCCAGGGTGGGCCGGCGAATACGTTTGGACAGGTTTGGATTGGGGAGAGGGTAGGGGCATGGATGGGATGAGATGCGACGGAGTGAGCGGTGGGATGAGATTGAGACAGAGACAGAGATAGAAGGGGAGGGGGAGGGCGGTCCCAGGTCTGGTCTGGGTTCGGGGATGGGATGGGATGAGAACGGCGGTTGCGGTTGTGCTGGTGGAAGTGGTGAGTGAGTGAGAGTGTGGTATGGTGGCAGACTAAGGTAAACGGTAAGTAAGAGTTGCATCCTATCTGAACCTACCTAACGAGGGAATGAGAAAAGAAAGGTACTTGCGTTGCTAAGAAACGTGGAATCAGGGTCAAAGTACAGGTCGCGCCCGTTGTCCGTGTAAGAGGTACGAAGGAGGTGGATGTACCCGGAGGTCCGGTGAACGGCGGAGGACAGCCTGCATGGCATGGCATGGCCTTTGGCCTTTGGCGGAGGGTGAGAGCCGGGTGCCGGGAGTGGGTGAGATACCCTTGCCAGCAGGCACTTGGTATCCGTTTCCGCATACTTTCTGGGCTTGACTTTCCATTAGTATGGCCAATGAGTATAGCGCTATCGATCTGTAGAGCTTGGTTGAGCCTGTAAGCTGCCAATGTTGTGCTAAGAGTATACTGCCGTGAGAGTGAGAGTAAGTTGAGTGAGTGAGATGGCCCCCCTGGTAATTGTTGAGGAGGGATCCAATCAGATCAGCAGGGGCCTCAGGGAGAACAAGTCATGGTTATTTTGGTTGGTTGAGTGGGGGAGAGAGAGACGCACCTCAATGTATGTGTCGGCATTCTGCCCCATGGGTGGGAACGCTATTGTGCCACCACGCATGCACATAAGGCGAGTCTTGTTTAGTCTGTTCCCCGCGGATGCAGTTGGTCTCGTCCCTCTAGTTTCCAGAGGAGCCGACGAACTCTACAGTGAGTTAGGAGTCGCGAGGCAAGATCACGTTGACTATGAAGTTACATGGGCAAGTCCATCGCCAGACTGGCTGTACGTAGCTTGGTGGGTATTGCGGATGAGCATCCGTAGTGGCCACACTATTTTCCAACTATTATACAACAGAAATCCAAGCAGGAGTCGGGGAGCACTCAGCAGGCTGGGCACCAGACCGCCCCGATCTGCGCGGGGCGCCGCGTGAGCTGACGACGGGAGGGGAATGGCGCGGGTATGGCATGTATTTCCAGCCAACCTACCCCAACTCCCCTCAAAGCTCTCAGGGATTTTGTAAAATGCTGTTGCTGTTACCGTCACCGCTCCTGGATCTGGGATCTACTGGCGCTGAACCCAGGGTTCTGCATTGTGGTGGTGGTGCGAGGACTGATACTTACCTTTCAGTGACCTCCCGCGGAGTCGGACACAGATTCTAACCGTGCCAATCGTGCCAATCTAGTGCCGTTCTGTGGAGAATGGAACGGCTGCCGTTTGCAGATTCACTGTGACAGTGGGCCCAGTACTCTATATCTAAACTTGGCAGGAAACGAGGCGCTGGAGACAAGAGAGACATATCCATCGATGCGCAAGGACGAGAGAGAGCAAGGATGGGGCACGTGTATGCGATGAGCACGTTCAGGCAAAGAAGACTCTACCCGTGGAGCCTGGACTGGGTTCGGTGGTTCACTTGGTTTCTTCGAGGTGGTCGGGTACTGCGATGAAGCAGCTTCGTGACCCTGCCAAGGCGGGCACCGGACGGGAGGTAAGCAGTACAAGTAAGGTAGGAGCAGTAGGCGAGCGTGGGTTGCCATAGCGCTTCTGTCCATAGGGAGGAGGGTGGAAGATTGAGCGAGAACGGCCGAGCCTATTCCGCCAACCCCAACCCAGAAACCTATCAAATTCGCGGTTGGTATCACCGTGCAGTGATTTGCTTGGTTGTGCGAGTCTAAACTAGTGCCAACTGCGAACTGGCTTTCTGGTGTCAGATTGTCATGGTTCCAATCGTGATGCCAAGTTCGATGATCGAAGAGACGAGCGAGTTGCGGTGGTGTGAAGGCGAGGAAACATGATGGAGGGGGGATGACGAGCGGTTCCCTCTAAGAGATTGACACTGAAGATGCAGGGGACGACGTTGGTCAAGCAGACGAAGCAGACTCAGAGGCAACGGCGATAGCTTGATGTCAGACAGACACGTTCCAACGTCCCCATGGGCTCTTGGAGGATTCCCGGTGATACCGATAAGGAACGGGCTGGGTGTTGTTCGACACGCCCTCCTCAACAGAAATAGAGACATCCATAACCCTTTCAAGCCTGGCTGGTCCCTGGACAGATTGTCACAGTAGCAGAGCAGGAGTAAACAGGAAACCCCAGATACCAAACTGGGATTCCACAGATCCGTCGCATGATAGAGTCGCCTGGGCGCGCCAGTGAATACACAGCCAGTATCGCTGACCAATGTCACCGGAGTTTAGGCACTGTTACGTGGCTGGCTCCACGACTCGGTGTCGATGTTTGTGATGATTTTCAGGGACGGCATTAACTTGAGAATATGACTATGCGGAATTGCAGATCGCGCGGCGCCCTTCGTATCCATCGAAACGTCAGGTATCCATCAAAATGCTTGTTGAGCTGAGTTGGCATGGCATGGCTGGCTCCCAGGCTGTGCACCGGGGAAGCGTGAAGCGTTATTGACTCCTTGTCGACTACAATTTCCACTTATGAATCACAAGGAGCTTGGCTACGACAATGGTATTGACTGGCACTGACAGCGCGGGTTGACTTTCGCCTTGACAGTCTCCAGGTCCCTGCTTGGTGCTTGGGGTGAGGGTACTCGAGGCGAGCAGGAACAGAAGACAGAAACGGGGGACAGGCGAAAAGAAGGACAGGGAACTTGGAAGGGAAACCAAAAGCTTCGAGACGTTGAGGAGCTTGGGCCAGCTGCGGGTCCCCCGGTACATGCACGCCGGCTTCCCGTCCCTTTGCCCCCACTCACACCACACTACGTACCAGTGCTTACTTAAGGTGCCTTAGTAAAGGTACGAGGATACTTCTCT